CGGCAATTTCTTGTACCGAAAGCGTCGCGGCGCGCGGCGTCGCGGCGTGTCCTCGATATTCGCGACATTCGAAAATATAATCGCTTTCGCGATTACCCTCACAACGCGTCTTCTGCCGAACAAGTGTGTGTGTGTATCGCGGAGAGAATACGTATTTTCAAGAATCATTATAATACCCGAGCGTCGCGTCGAATCTATACTACGCGATAGATACCACAGTGAATAATACATGCAAGATCAATATGTGTCAAACTTACCAATTAAATGATTCGCGACGCCACTCGTTCCGGAGCCGATCCGTTCCGTGCCCGTCACTCTCTGGAAATGAAAGGGAAGGGAGTACGTCATCAATATGGCGGAGGCGCTTCGTTTCCGCGCGGCAACTTCACGCGTCAAAAGCGCCGCGGCGTCGCTACGCGTTCCGTAGCCAACTTAAGTTCGCGATCATGATTTTTCCGAACTTTGAGAAATCAAATATTTACTAACTCGCTTATTACTGCAATTGTTCTTTTGCATTCTAGCGAATAGCGTATTAATATTATTGGCAAATATCCGCGATATTCGCGGCACGACACTCGAAAATACGATCGTCACTTTCGCGATTGCTCGTGCGACGCGCCTTCGGCCGGACAAGTATCGCGGAATACGTATTTTTAAGAAATATCAATACCCGAGCACTAAATCTATGTTACGCGATAGATACCGCAGTGAATATAATGCATGCAAGATTAATATGTGTTATACTTACCAATTAAATGAGTCGCGACGTCGCTCGTTCCGGAGCCGATCCGTTCCGTGTCAGCCGCCTTCTGGAAATGGACATGGAAGGAGAAGCGGTTATACGTCATCAATATGGCGGAGGCGCTTCCCGCGTTTTCCGCGCGCCGCGCGGCAACTTCAAAAGCGCCGCGGCGTCACTACACGTCTCGTTTTTACTTTCGCGTTTATGCATTTGTCTCATTTTAACAATAAATGCCATACGCTTGCCTCACACAGCAGGCAGTCAGTTTTCCCTTTATGATCTTGATATGAGTTAAACATATAAATATTATATATAGATACTTATTTATTATTTTATATATTTATATTATATGTCAAATATCTAATATGCAATTTCGAAAATGGAAGGCCGGAATTGGCCTTTCTCAGAATCTCAGGGTATATACATATAACGCCCAACACATTATACCATGATCAACACAGCAACACACGAAAAAGGCCGGGGCCCGGGGCCCGGGATGGCCTCTCTCAGGTTTCTCTCTGCTTGTGCACTTCTGGGACGCTTTTAAGTGCGGAAAGTGTACGACAGTGCAGCTACACTTTCGCCGTGATGTGGAAGCGCAAAACAATATGGCCGCTCGCTGGGGGTGGGGAGTGAGGACGGCTGTCAAAGATCTGAGAACGGGTGTCTTGATGCGCGAATAATTATCGGGATCTCTCTTTTTTTCCGTTTCGGAAGAGACGTGTCGTCCCGCGTGAGATAAAACGGAATAATGTTGACGGCGGCCGCGAACATGTCCAACAATGGTGGCTCCTACAGCGTCGAGAGGCCACCCACTCCAGACGGATCTGTGGATCTCTTGGAGACAATGGAGCTCCCTTCCTTTCTCAGTGGATTATTCAACTCCGATTACAAGAAGTAATTAGTCTAGAAGTGATCCGTGTAATTTCGTTCGCGTGAACGATCGTCCCTTCAGGAAATGCAGAGCGATAGTTGGAAGTCAACTTTGGAGATGAAACCTGTCATGAATATTGAATTACTGTCATATCTTGTTGCTATTTATATCTTATCGTAATTTGATTGAACATAAGAGAAATACATTTAACACGAAAGAGACGGACATTTTCATAAAAACATATGCGTTTCAGGCATGACGATCTTAAGGAGATGCTGGACAGTAACAAGGATGGACTCAAGTTGGAAGCCATGAAACGTATAATTGGGGTACGTAAGTGCACGATTTATGGAGTTTTCGATTTACTACTCGACCCGACTCGGGGGTCGCATCAATGGACGTGGAATACATACATAGATATGTATGTATTCCACGTCAATGATGCTAGAGTTTTGTATACATGATGCGACCCGAGTCGGTTTGAGTCGCAAATCGAAAACGCTATTAGATTTAGAACTGACTGGCAGCCATGTCGGCAATAACTCGGTCTTTCCTTCAGATGGTGGCCAAAGGAAAAGATGCATCGGATATGTTTCCAGCTGTTGTAAAAAATGTAGTGTCTAAGAATATCGAGGTAAAGAAGTTGGTGTACGTTTACCTAGTTCGTTATGCGGAGGATCAGCAAGATCTGGCACTTCTTTCCATATCAACGTTTCAAAGGGCTTTGAAAGATCCCAATCAGTTGATAAGAGCAAGCGCTCTAAGGGTATTATCCAGTATACGGGTTTCCATGATAGTACCCATCGTGATGTTGGCCATCAAAGATTCGGCTAGTGATATGTCGCCGTACGTCCGAAAAACTGCTGCTCACGCCATCCCTAAATTATACTCGCTGGACCACGAGCAAAAGGAAGAATTGATAAACGTACTCGAAAAATTGCTGTCCGACAAAACCACCCTTGTGGTAGGCTCGGCAGTAATGGCTTTCGAAGAAGTGTGTCCAGAGAGGATAGATCTCATCCATAAGAATTACAGAAAATTGTGTAATTTGTTGGTGGATGTTGAAGAATGGGGCCAAGTAGTTATCGTTAACACGCTCACCAGATACGCTAGAACACAATTTGTTAATCCAAATACAGACGTAAGTATACATCGTTAAGAACGCGCGAGAAAATAGGATAAATGGTTCTAATTAAAAATTATAATTTTTAATATAATCACAGAATTTAGAAGAAGACGAAAATCGGCCATTTTACGACTCCGATTCTGATTCTTCCAATACAAAGAAACCAAAGTTTATGTTAGATCCCGATCATCGTTTGCTGTTAAGGAACACGAAACCTTTGTTACAAAGTCGAAACGCATCCGTAGTAATGGCGGTCGCTCAGTTATATCATCATGCAGCCCCCAGAAGCGAAGTTATGACCGCTGCAAAGGCATTAATAAGATTATTGAGAGGCCATAGAGAAGTGCAGAGTATTGTGCTTCATTCTATCGCTAGTATATCAATTACGAGAAAAGTAAGTACGGCACCGAAACGCGATACAAATTAATCTGCGGTATAATTTAACTTGCATAAAATATATAATTATATATTATATATAACTGATATATACGTGCTGTTTAACAGGGAATGTTTGAGCCTTTCTTGAAATCGTTCTTCGTGCGAACTTCCGATCCTACTCACATAAAACTTCTGAAACTCGACATATTGACAAATTTGGTGACTGAAACTAGCATCAGCGTAATATTGAGGGAATTTCAAACGTACATCTCCAGCAGTGACAAGGAATTTGTCGGTGCCAGCATTCAGGCGATCGGCAGATGTGCAAGTAACATCAAGGAAGTGACCGACATGTGTCTCAACGGGCTGGTATCATTGTTGAGCAATAGAGATGGTAAACTTTTATTACAGCCTATATACTATATTATGTTTCATATTATACATTATGTCATATTAAACATTACGTTATTTTACTTTTCCACAGAGGCTATTGTGGCGGAAAGTGTTGTGGTAATAAAAAAGCTCCTGCAAACGCAGCCGAATGAGCACAAAGACATCATCGCTCATATGGCTAAATTAATGGATTTCATAACGGTTCCACAAGCCAGAGCATCTATCCTGTGGCTCCTAGGTGAATACTCCGACAGAGTCCCTAAGATAGCGCCGGACGTGCTCCGAAAAATGGCGAAAAGTTTCGTGAACGAACAGGATATAGTGAAGCTGCAAACTTTGAATTTAGCTGTGAAATTATGTTTGAACAATCCCTCGCAAACAAAGCCGTTTTGTCAATATGTCTTCCAACTTGCCAAATACGATCAGAATTATGACATCAGAGACCGCGCGCGTTTTCTACGGCATTTTATCTTCGAGGAAGAGGGTGACGCGAAGATGCTTCCACAGTTCGCAAAGAGAGTTTTCCTTGCACCGAAACCGGCACCGACTTTAACATCTAGGTTCAAAGACTCGGAGTATCAATTGGGCACTCTATCTCACTACCTGGACATGCCGTGCGTGGGATATCGGCCTTTACCGCCTTTCCCGGATGTTACGCAAGATCCATCCGTACGAGACGTCGCACCGTCTACCGCGCAAGAGCTTAAAGAAGAGCGACATAATAGGAAAGAAAAGGAGAAGAAGAAAAGCAAGGAAAAGGCGAAACCGTTCTACAGTGACGAGGAAAGCACTCCCGCTGAAGGTACCATCCGATAATAATTAACGTTTACGCATGTGTTATATGTATGTATATATACTTAAATTTTCTGTCTCTAATTTCAGAATCGGATAATCAGTCATCTGATTCTTCGTCCAGCGAATCTTCAGACGAAGATAGCGATTCTTCAGAGTATACAAGTGACTCAGATAAATCCGAAACGGGCAGTGGAAAGAAAAATGAAACAAAATCCGATGATTCCGAAAGCGAATCGTCGAGCGGTGAAGAGTCAGATTCGGGAGACGAAGAAGAAGAAAGCGAGACTCAAGAGAACGAAGAAGAAAAACCGAAAATTGTTAAGCAAGAAGTGAAAGAAAAGCCAAAAAGCAACTTTGACCTGCTATTGGATCTGGATGACGGTTAGTTTGACGAGAAATGGATTGAAAAAAAAAATTAGCATTAATTGCACTCATTATATATATTTTTTACACAGTTGTTCCAATGACTCCTGTGATGACGCCTAGTTTGGGTGGTTTTCTTACTCCAATTAATTCAACAATCACAGATAATGTTCGAGAAGTATCGACATCGTATGTTCCATTAAAAAAGACTACTTTGTTAAATAGTATCATAGGGCACGGTTTAAAAATTGAATATAGATTTACGAGATCGCAGCATTTAGTTAGTTCAAGTTTGGTTAGTATCGAATTAACGTTCTCTAATGAAAGCAACGATGTCGTTAAGGAGATTCAAATAGGAAACAAAGTGAGCAATATTCCAAGTATTGTGTAACATAATTATTATTATGAAATAATATATTTAATGCGTACTTTCTTTTCAGAATTTGCTAAAGGGTATGTTTATTCACGATTTTTCGCCAATATCGTCGCTCGATGCAAGTGCCACGTTATCTTCGACGCTAGGCGTTAATTTTAATGACTCTACTCAACCGGCTAATTTCAACATCGACTTTGCGATTAACGACGAAAAATACTCATGTCCGGTCAGTATCAAATCACCGATCGGAGAGATAATAAGATCTGTGACCTTGCCTGAAAGCATGTTCAACGTGGAGAAAGCTAAATTGAAAGGCATGAACGAGCACATAGCGAAAATACCGTATTCTGGGAACAAAAATGCTCTTTTTCAAAAAGTGTTCGAGACTGCAAACGTCGCAAGAATATCTAACGAGGATGAAGTTATGCGGTAAGACATGCATTTTTTGTTAATCTAATTGCATTCATTTCATAAGTATCTTAAGTGTATTTTTTTAAATCTTAATTAAGTCTAAAAAATTAAGCATCACAAATGTTTACAGGTTCGCCGCTCATACTTTAGCGTCTAAATCATTGGTATTGGTGACAATAAAATTCATTGATGCTGGGCAATTGGAAGTTTGCGTGAACTGTGAAAAAATGGTTATAGGATCAATTTTATTGAACGAATTTAAGAGTAATTTAAAATAAAACGGATACATGCTATTTACGAGATTAAATAATATAGATGCGTTTCGTACACATTTATGAGGCAATGAGTACTCCTTCCTTCGTTAAGCGATGGTAAATTTTTTCAAATAATATATTCCATTTAATTTTTATATACATACATACGTATGTATGTATATATGTACGTATATTATATATGCATTTCTCTAGATATACGTATATGTATAAACATGCATATACAAGTATAATGTACAATACATAAATACCCTGTTACGCCATTGTGGTGGCTTTTATAATAAATTCTAATTGCTTTTTGTCATAACGTTGCTCTTTTCAAAGTACACCATATCAATTGCTGAGACCCGCTGATATCGCAGTCCGCGATCTCCCAGAAACGCAGCCGGTACTCCTTGTGACTCGTCAGGAATGCCTTCAGTACTATATAAAAAGCCCATGTGCACATTATTATAAACACGTTAAAATGCTGGAGCTGGATACTCACTTCGTAACATTCCGCTGGAGATTGGCTTCGAGAAACCGATATCTTCGTTTGGAAAGCGCGCGATTACGTCGGACAGAATTCCCGTACCGAAACCCCGGTTTCTATATTCCGAACGAATGTACGCGGTATCTACTACAGGCATCACGTATCTCTCTTTCGTCGAGAATATTTCCGTACCTAGGGGAATAATTAAGAATGTTATATATCCATATTCTCTTTCTGAATTTTTCCTAACGTCACGTAATTACCTGTAGGTTTAACGGTATAAAACCCGATCGCTTTGCCTCCTTGCCACCTTAGTAATACGACATCGAATTCGCCCACCATAGCGTACAACGATTCAAGCTTTTCCGGTCGTGGCGTGTCGAAGTCTGGATAAACAATCTGGCTCAGTGTGTAAAAGAGCACCTTATCACGATCCGCTCGGACCTCCCGCCATTCATCGTCGAGTCGATCACAATAAGTATCGTTAACGTCGATTATCTCATCGTTCAACGTTATAGCTACGAAGTGATCGCCGTCGACGCAGTCTACGCGACGCACATCGCCTTGAATGTTCAAGCTCCGTAGATCGAGTTGGATCGTTCTCGTTTGTGCACATTTTCCGCATCTACGAATCAATCGCGTTAGTGTATCGTATCTCATTACAACTTTTTTTTTTTATGAAAATGCGAGTAAGAATTGTGATAACGAATTTGTGTTTTACAGACAAAAATTGAGAGACAGGCTCAATGAAAAGATCATTATATAATCGACTAGTTTTGACATTGCGCGGCAGGCTAATTGGAAATGAGCGACATGAATTCGTAGAAAACAAGTTGATTCATCACCTCGAACATATCATCTTGAGCAGACGGAACGAAGACGCGGGTAACGTCGTGATAAGAGAGAAATATTCGACCGGATCGGCCCACGAAAAAGTGAAACTTATTAACTGATAAGGACAACGACTCAGTTGTCGTTCTTGGACTGCTTTATCGATGATGTACGCACGTGACAAGTGTGGAATTTGCAATTATTACAATGCACGCGGGAAACAGTTCTCAAATTCAATACAAAATCTTTACGTACGCGATTTCACGAATCGATTCTATTAATTTCATAGCACAAGAAAAGTGAATCGACACGTGCTTTCTGTGTTCTTAATACTGTGTTCTGATACGAACTATCGTGGAAACGTGCGTTACGTTTAAATACGTACAAGATATAGGACTCGCGAGATATTTAAAAAATCATACACATTTGTGGGAAGTTAATTACCAGCAGAGAATCAATTGAGGGAGACAATTAGTGCATCTGAAAAGGCTTTATCTGTTTCCTGTGACAGCGAATACATAGATGTGTATTACTTATCGTTAGATTCTTGCAAGGTTAGTTGAAATTTTCCCCGATGGAAATATTTTGCTGAAAGCACTGTATGAAATCGATAAAAAGTGAAATAAAAGTTATTAAAAAATTACTTGATATGTTTCAAAATAAATCGTAACTTTCCTTATGAAATGTAATACTAGAAAAATTAAAAATAGAAAAATTAAATTATACACTATAGAAAAGTAATAATAAATTTTTTGAAATATTAGATTATATATATATATAGATATAAAGTATACTAAATTTAACTGAAAACTGAATTTCACTGAAATATTAATACAATAGTAATGAAATGGGATCAATTGAGAGAGAATTTCGAATACATTTTAGTAAAATTTCTATATTTTCAGTAAAATATTTCCATTAGGGTATAATTACGTATTATCTCCGTTCATAATTTTTGCATAATATTGTTGATTATAGGAGTAAATAGGAAATTATTATTATTTTGTGATAAGCGCGCATCATTCCTAACTGCCCAGCACGCTTTCCAGTGCTGATAAGAGCCGACTGAGTGTACGATTGCACGAAACCGGTTAAGCGCACAGAATCACACGTAATCTTGTTTGTAAGTACACGAGGAATGCAGCGGCATTCGTTCGTCGTTATCGGAAGACAAAGAATCCGTATTTTTGTGCTCTTCGTTATAGGTGCGGGACAGTGAACTCTATTACCACAGACTTCTGCATGATTTTTCGCAACACGATTATTTATAATCGACGAGTATATATTCCTTGGACTGGCCATTTGCGATTCTCTTCGCGTAAACTTTAAAATCTTGTAAGACAGCAACAGATATTAATTTCTTCGTTAATTGTCTAGATGTAAAATTTCAGGGAGATTTCTGATTGCAATTTGGGAAAAAAGTTCGTATCGCGCTGGGTGAAGAGCATATATAGGATGAGGATCGAGAACAGAAATCTGTCAGCTGCCTTATTGAAGAATTCCCATCGCATGATTATCATTCAATTAAAAAAAGAAGTCCTAAATCCATCATAAGTGATCAGATTAGGAGGCAACGCAGTGGTGTAACTAATCGCGATTGCAATCGCGATGATGATCGGCGGATCGCGCTTTTCTCTCGCCCGCCCTCTCCAAGACGCGAGCGTGCACACGTCTGTCATTCTATTGCAGATAACGCTGACGCGCATCGCATTTCTTGTTGAGAGACGCGCTTTGATAGCGGCGATAGGATGGGAGCGTGTGTCACGCGTCCACCTATATACGCCCGCGTGCGCGTCGCGTCGCGCAGTCGGAGTCGTACGTCGGTCTCGGTGGACTGGACTCGGTGGAGTCGCTCGGTGGTGCAAGCCAGGCGCGTTGAGAGCTGAGGTCGTCAACTCCAGGGCCCATCGATCGTGACGTGCCCCGACTGTGCCCTGACGTTGGGACTGTTGGGAGAGCGCGCGCGGGTTCCATCAGCTGGTGTAGTGTCGCGCGTCAGCTGGGCGACGCGGGCGGGACGTGGGACCAGGCAGGACGAGCGCCTGTCCCGATGTCTTCGTCGCGGCTCGGTGAACACCAGCGATTCGACAACGAGACGAGCCTGCCGCTCGACCAGGAGATCACCAATGGCTCGAGCCGACGTAAGTCCGCCCGCGGCATTCCCCGTCGCCCCAGATCCATCTAGATTTCCTGTCGATAATGTGCCTGCGTTACGAAATGGCTGCGACCTTGCGAATCGCGCACCGCTGACAGGAAGGATATTTTGCCTTTGACAGTCTCTTTCTCGAACGGGACAAGTCGTGATTCTACTCGGAGACTCTTCGTCGATAACGTGTAGTCACGTAGAAATAGCTTCTCTCTCCAGCAGATGCGCCAAACTATGTTTTATTAATTTTATTAACGTGTGAAAGTAATTTAGCGCAGTATCTATTTATCGAGAAATTTTTATGACTTCTTAAAGGTACCTTATGATCATTGAGATATGCTGCGTATTTTCTTCTTGCAGAATATGGCTCCATGCTGTCCTCGCCTTCTTCGGAGAGTCATGTGAGGTCTTCATTTAACAATGCTAATAACGCTAATCAATTAAATTATAAGTACGAAGCGGGTGAAACGAAGAGTGGAAGTATGACTGACAATGAGATCACAGGCTTCACCACGCACGACGCGAACCTGCATTGGGAAATGAACTATCACGAAGCTGCAATATTTTTAGAGGTAACTACGTATTGATTGTAGAAGCCTATCTAAAATAATAATAGCTATTAGAACGTAGAAATACATCACAAATACGCAAGCGGAAGATTGAATGCCCAATTATTTTTTTCAAGGATATCCATTGTTCTATGGTATATACATTCTGCAGCACTATTACGTACATAATGTATGTTATGTAATATATAGAGATGTATAGTCTGTTGTTCTTCACATTTTAAGCATTGGGTGCATTCCGTTTCAGGCATGATGAGTATAGTGCATCATTTATCCTTGTTTAACACTGGATGAACAACAAGGATAAATGATACACTGTGCGCATCATCGTGAAACGGAATGTACCTATTGAATGATCAAACAATACTGCATCGTGTGTTATGCGAGAACTTGAAATATTTATACTGAATTATACCGAACTATAGCTCATTGATTACTAAGAGTAATGTATGATTATTATAATCTTTATTATTGTCATCAAAGCGGATTATTCTTTCAGGAAGGTAGAAACAATGAGAAGTTCGATTCTCATCCAAGGCATCCTGAAGATTTGCCGGCATATCTCTTAGTCCATAACAGTTGGTACAATGGATTGGATTTACTGGCTTCGTTAATCCTGCTGTCTCTGGCATTCGTAGAGGAACCTGCCTTGCCATTATTCAAAGTACGTCATGCATGGATAAACGGCATACCACTTTCTTTCACCGATATCTTTCATATATACGCTTTGCTGTAGGTACCAGTGTGGGCACATGGCTCGGTAGAATTACTTGAGTTAATTACTATCGGCGTGCAATTGGCTTTGAAGCTGAGATGGACTGGGTGGGCACCTATGTTAAGACACAAACGTACAATGTTGAAGGTAAAAGATATCCCTCACTCGAAATATTTCTCCGTAAACTTTTTATTACAAATAGAATAAAAATGCAGCGTCATAGTTTGACAACAACGTATTTACAGAAGGTACGCGATGGTTGGAAAATTTATTATTTCAGATTAATCAGATTATTTGTATAATCAGATTACGCGAGTAGTTGCTCGTTCGTACACTTGTAACTGATAATTATTATGCAACAATATATAAGAGTATCAGACAGTAATCGTATATTTATTAACGATCAACGACCGCATTGTCGTTGATAATCCGGATGAGTAATGAGTACTGAGTACTGCAACAAATATGTAATGACTTATTAGCTTACTTACATAATGAGTTTTTGAATTAGTGCAATGTCAGACGCGTCGCGATATTCCTCATGAAATTCAAATGAATGGGGAATGACGTACGATTTGAAATGAAAAACCTGATTGCCAGGTTGTTGACTTTCTTCGGATACTTTCACTCATATCGATTTCTGTTTCAGTGCATCACGTTAGCAATCATGTTTCTCGAAGCTATGACAGTCCTGGTACGGCAATCATCACATTTCCGCGTGACCCGCGCCCTAAGACCCATCTTTCTAATAGACACAAAATATTGCGGCGGCGTAAGAAGATTTATAAGGCAAATACTTCTCACCCTACCACCCATCCTGGATATGTTGGGACTTCTTTTCTTCTTGATTATTGTGTATACTGTGCTGGGTTATTACATGTTCAGTGAAATGAACAGAAATTTCTCCACAATGCAAGACAGCTTCGTCAGCCTGTTCGTTCTTCTTACCACTGCCAAGTAAGTAGATACAATCCGACATAATTTAATTTTTAACCATGTAATTTATTGATAACGCAATTTGCAGCTTTCCGGATGTAATGATGCCGTCATATTCCCAAAATAAGTGGTACGCGATATACTTTGTTTCTTATTTATGTACCATGCTGTACGTGATGATGAATTTAATGCTGGCTGTGGTAAACGAGACGTTCACGTCTCGCGAGCGCGACAAGTTCAAGAAGCTGTTTCTGCATAAGAGGAAAGCTTGTCAGCACTCTTTCAGGCTTTTGGTTTCCAAGCAGGACCCTGACAAGATGCGATTCCGTCAGTTCGAGGGTTTGATGCGGTACTATGCTCCGAATAAATGTGCGTATTCAAGATTATATATATAAACTTTAGATCTGTTTTTTTATTGAATACGTACACAACTTAAATTTCATGCCATATGAAACTCAAAAGGTAAAAAAGTGATTTTATACCTGCAATAATAATTAACATTATATGCTCTTTATAGCTACGCGAGACATTGTTTTAATGTTTTGTCATATGAATGCATCGGGAAGTGGCGCTTTAAATTCCGAGGAATTTTTGTCAATTTATGATGCTAATACGCTTCAATGGGACTTGCGATACTCTAACATACCATGGTACCGTACTGCATGGTGGCCTCTGCAAACGCTGTCCACAGGCGCCCATACTGTTATCAAGTGGTCGTATTTTGAAACTTTAGTGTGTAAGTAAATGATGCGTGTACATGATTATACATATGAGAAAGCTTTGTATTTCTCTTTATTCGTAATTTTGCAGGTATGATTATTATCGGTAATTGCATCGCCATGGTAATAAGAATCCTTGAACCGAGTAACAGTCTTGAAGAATCGGCGCATAGATTTGCCGCGTGTTGGGATACTGTGCTGTTCGCAGGACGTGAGTGAAAATCTTTTAAAATTAAAACATATATCTTAAAATGGAAGAATTTATGATTATAATATGCAAATAAATTTTTACAGTTTTCATGGCAGAGGCACTGGCGAAAACATTAGCTCTTGGTATTAGATATTACCTGAGCTCTGGATGGAATCTTTTCGATTTCGGAACATCAGTAATGATCCTTGTCGCTGGGTGTGCTCTCAACTTATTCCCATCGGCTACATTTCTGGTTCTGTTCCGACCTCTCAGAACGCTAAGATTGTTTAAGATCAAGAAACGCTACCGAGACGTTTTCGGCACTCTCGTAATTCTGTTCCCCCAGATGTGTTCGACAGCGATCGTCATGCTGGTCTTGTATTACTTTTTCGCGATTATTGGAATGGAACTATTTGCTGGATATGATATGCGTAATTGCTGCAAGTTAGTACCAAATCAATTATGATAATTAAATATAAATTTTTTTTCTGAACTTTTTATATATGTATAATATATTGTCTGATTTTTTTTAAATATTCTTAAATATTTTAAATAGGAATACGACCGTTGAAGATTTCTATGAATATTCTGTCAATGGTAGCTCGGCTTTGGGATATTACTATCTCAATACTTTCGACAATCTCATAGCGAGTGGCACTACACTTTTCGAATTAACAGTTGTTAATAATTGGTTTATACAAATGAATGCATACGCATTTACCGTGGGCATGTACACAAGGATGTATTTCATGATATTTTATCTGGTGACCATGATCGTATTGACTATTGTGGTATCCAGTTTCCTGGAAGCTTTTCGATTTAGGATTCAGTATAAAAAATCAACTTCAAAACATGACGGTAATAAATATATATTTGAGCTATAGAGATCTTTTTTGTTTCATAATTTTTATATGTTCTTGTATATATTTTTTATTTTTTAGAGGAAAAAATGCTGCATGAAGAGGTGGAATTAAAATGGGATGAATTGCAATGCATAATCGAAGATTTTCAAACTCTGGAAAATTTGCGCAACTCTCTAGTTGTCGGAGGAAGCACTCTCTTCATTGGTTCACGGCCGCGAACACGGGAGGTTTTACAGAGAAAGATGTACACACATGAAATAAACGAATGGATAGCCGAAGCAAAGTCCGAAGAAAAGCAACTTGTACCTAATGCAACATGTAATGTAGAAGAGGGGAGCGGTGACGGTAGCTCTGATACCGATCATCTTGTGCTAAACGGCAATTTGCGTCATCAGCAAAACAATAGTATATCTACTCGTTAAAATCGGTGACGTAACTTAGACTGTATTCTGAAAATTAATTTATATAATTCTCGCTTACACACGTGTAAGTGCATTTATCATTTAATAACGTATCTCGCTTAAGTGTTAGCGAATATATTTTGATAGTAGGGAAAGATAATGTGTTATATATTACATTCTAGATCTTTTAGTGATCAAATTCTAGAAGATACGATTAAGAAATTTTAATACAAACGAATGACTTCCTTTATAATTTTGATATTACGAACTAGTCATGAACATTAGAAAAAGATTTCATTTTTAGGAAATAATTCAATAAAATAATCATTTTCTTGAACTCACATTGACGTGCATGTTGCAGTTTCATAGTGTGTATAATATAATAATTCATGCAGCAAATTTAAATATACTTTGACACTAATTAATATGAGGTATATTCCAAAGATCAATCTCGTACATCGGATCATATCATTTTGATATCACTTTAATGCGAGAGATAAGCGATGATGTTTCCATTATTTTATCGCAAAGCTTTGACTAAGGTAAATCATTAGAGTGGGTTTGAGGACAGCGCGGGATCCGGAGCAGGATGATCTTGCTTATATTTATTTATTTTCCTTGTAAATGAACGAAATTTCAATCTGCAGAATTTAACATGTAAAAAAAAATGAAGCAAATATCCTTTCACTCCGGGTCGGCTTTGATTTGCGTATCACACAAATACGACATATCTAATATTGTTACGTATTATTAGCGCGAAAGAATATTTTAATATTTTTCCATTTTCAATGTAACAATCCATGTATTTATTTAACAAATACGTGCTTTATTATCCTTGTTAAATGTACAGAATATAGAATATTATATAAAATTGTATTTTTTTCCTCGTTCTCTTCCACCAGGGAAATACCATTGTAATTAAATTATTTTAATATATTCATATTTAGTTACTAATATATAAGTTGTTCATTTTAATCTATTTTAAATTAATCTTCAATAATCACTCCGCTGCAACCTAGACTTGTCATCGTGACTTCGAAACCTTTTTCCTCTAACTGTTTTGTGAAAATTTTGATAGATCCGTTGTCAGCGTCCTTTGGCAGTAAAATGTATGCACATCCACCTCCACCTGCACCCGTGAGCTTCCCCGCATATGAATGTGTCATTGCCAATGTACAAATCATCTCTAACTTCGGATGTGACACGTTCAATGCGGTTAGTAATCCTTGGTTCATGTGAATGAAACACTACAAAATGTACACCAAAAGATAGCTACAATTTCCAGCGGACGATTATACATGTGAGTCTTAAAAATAAGTAACAAAATAATATATTGAAATTCACAAAAATGAGACTTACCGATAACGTTGTGTGCCGATCATCTAGCTTTATAGATCCAGAGAATTGGTTAATTTCATTGAGCGTTTCCCAAGCGTGGTTCGATAGAGCGTCGATGCTATCCAGGATGGGAATGACGATCGAAGGATATAAATCTTTCAGTTCCGCTACTTGTTTCACTTGTTTTTTTGTACTGCGGGTAATATTTGTATTAACCAGCAGAATCTTGAGATCCGGCACTTGTGGTATCATGTCCAGCTGTTTATTTTTAAATTTTATTATTGAACCGTATGTGCATACGCTATTGTCGATTCCGGATGGAGACTCGTGCATAATTCGCTCACAATTTAGAGCGTACTTCGAGATCTTATCGAGTTCGTCCTTGTTAAATGTATTGTGTTCGCCTTTCTGCAAGCGCGACCAATGTAGAAAACACGCTGCAAGACATACCGCGAACGATGCCGAACTGCCTAGACCAGAATTGACCGCTAATTCCGTGGATAAGTGCACGTGGAAGGAAGTTTCTTCTATATTAATGTGTTCTTCGTAGGCGATATAAACGAGCAGGTAAAAGAACGCTTGTAAGCTTGATCTCTGCCGCTCAATAAGAGTATCGCTGTTATTCTTGTCTATTACATGATCTATCGAATCGATAAAATCTTTCACACGAATATGCAATTCATTTATATCCTTGATCAACGAATAATGAAAATTATTGCCAAAAAAGTAGTCAAAAAATACGCAAAAAGGAAACTTCAAATATAATTTGACATCAGGGAACTCTATTTTAATAACGTCCTCTGAATTTGGCAGTTCGGCGAATTTAAGAGTCGTGCGTAAGTTCAAGCTAGCCGCCACAGCAGTTTTTCCATGTACCACTGCGTGTTCTCCGTATAAGATCACTTTACCCGGTGCGGATATTTTGAACTCGATCATCTTTCTATGAATAAAAATTTCTTTTATCTGGAAAATTGTAATGTTAAATGTTGAACAGTAGAACGTAGCAATAAAATCTGTACTCACAATTTTCTGTTAGAAGATGCGCATTTATCTGATGTAGAAGAGATCACCCAGATAATAATTGTTATCAGTCTTTTGTGTTAAATAAATTAAAAGTAAATTAGAAACACCGGTTGTATCTTTTCATCAATTTTTTTATCCATAAAAGGGATTTAACAAGATTCCACAGTCAATTTTTCGTTTTTTCCCATTGTTCTGGCGTAAATGTTGTTAACGAAATGGCATGAATTGTCTTCAATTCTTCTTCCAAAACTCCATACACAAGCCTGGATTACAAATGTTTAATGATTGAAGCTTTATGTTACGAATTTTATTAATACTTTTATGAGAAGACATTAAAATTTATACATAATCTCAGAATTATATATCACCTGTGACGTAGCAGTGAGGGCTTTCCCTGGAATAAGTCAGAGACGACAACCACCGAAAATTTAGCACCGCAACCGTCGGATTGATCCACTACTTCCTGTAAACACACAACGTATTTTGCAAACAATATCTTTCTAAAACCACCAATGGACGTTTAGCAAATCCGCGAACAACAATTTTTTTTTTGGCATCAATATTCAATAGACATTTGATAATCAGTAAACACGTTTGATAGCGGTACATTTGATTTAACTTCATTAATCGGTAGCGTTTAAATTAAATGATAAAACTCGGATATTTTATCTACTTACAAAAAAAAGACTGAGAAAGTGGTATAGAGTATTGTTGAGATTTTTTATGAAAATATCGAAAATATCGCTCTGACGTTAATGCAAACTAAGGTGGGAAGGATTAAATCTTGGCAAAGTTCGAGGCTGAGTTGATACATATCTAAGTCTCTTATTGGCATATGTAGCATGCGTTCAAACACGAAGAATTGATTTCTGACAAAAACAGTAGGACACAGTAAAGTATGTTACTAATAATGCAGTGTTTTAAAAAAATGTCGGAGTAACATATAATATTTTACATATTAAATTCTTGATTTATTCTTCTTGGGTTCTAATATTTTAAAAATTATATTACTAATATAAATTACATATTATGCAGAATGCAATTTTCATTTTTTATATAAACGTAATATGTGATGTGTAATTAAATATCACCCTATATATTCAATATTAACAGAAATACATTCGTAAATGTGACAAAATAAGCGATTAAAATTAAATATTTAGCATCAAATATTATTTGTACGCTCCGAACCACAAGTATAATTATGCATACACGTGTACACATACTAATTTTCATAACTTAGCATATTGATTTTTTTTATTATCTGTAGGTACCACAAGAACTCTAGCAATGGTCATAAATTAAAGTGAAGTTTAAATTTTTGATTCGCACTTTACATTTTGATAACTGTTTATAAAAAGTTTGAGATTCTAAAACCTTGTTCTATGTGCTGGTATAACTGTAGGCGAAAGATTCCAAATGCGCAACAGTGAAATATTCGAAAAAAAAATTAATAATCTGTGTATATTATTGTGTTGCTAAATTAATCAATATGTCAAGCTTTGTTCGTAACGTATAAATAAAATTATTCATACAGAATTAACAACTTTTATCGCTTTATCGAGCTTTCAAAATCACGATCTCCATGTGTCGACGATGTGGAGTAACCGTGAAACGTGTACTTAGCGAGAATCAATTGACATTACGGAAAAGGAACAATGAAATTTGATTCAACTTTACATATCTTTTTTAAAGAGCAGGTTTATTTATTCTTTACAATTGTAACAATTTACATATTCTTTGGTTTCAGTAGCTCGTTTAATGTGACTTGACTTTGTTTGTGACGATCTCTTTCCTTAATACAAATAGTTGGACGTAATTGAAATATATAAAGAAAATTACAAAGTGCCCGCAAGAATACATCGATATTAAAAGCGGAAATAGATCCGGGTATCTTGCAGGAGGTTTTACAAATGGACTGACAATAGAGAGAAGCAACGCACCTGAAATAGATCCGTAGAACGCGACGAGAAGCCAAGACTTTTTGCTATAGTTCAACAAGTCTGAGAGAAGCTTACTTTTCTTATGTTGTTTTACCCTACCTTTCGATTTTGATTTATCTTTATTTAACGTGCTGTTTGTTCTACCGTTATAAAATAGATCGGGCCATATCCAAGAGACGGAACAAAAGTAAAAAACCATCGTGCCAAGATAAGCGAGGTACAGCTTGTCCTTTATAAATAATGGCAGCATACTAAAATGTGAGATGATCAAAAACCAGAAGCAAGGAAGAGGATCGCTGTGAAAGTACAGCAAAACCGGAACGGCGACTAAGAGAATGGACTTCTCGTGAACTTGAAACGAGAAAAGGAAGAATGCCAGGGCGGAATTTATTAGAGCGAGCATAAATGCCTTTCTTGTAGATGATAAGTATAAACTGACGCAGCTCGGTAGAACCGCGCACGTTGTTATCGTTAAACAGATCTTGGCTAATTGCTCATTCGTGAAAATCTGTCGTAATTTGCAGACAACATTGATCGCGCACCAGACATTGGCGACTTTGTCTTCGAACACACCCCTGGAAAAGGGGAATAATCTGAGCACCGCGCTGAAAAACAGGTCTCTGCTCTTGAGAAATGGAATCCAGATAACGTAGAACGTTAGTAGTACCGCCAAAGATATGCACGTCAGCATGCGAACACAGTGAGACCAGGATCTTGTCTTGCCAGGTGTGTGACGTCCGAGGATATAGAAGAAAAATGGCAAAGCGTGATACAGTTCCATTTGCTTGTAGTTCAACGCTAGGACGAACAGAACTGAGCTAACGACGAACGAATCTTGCACTATAACGGCTACAGCGGCGACGAAGAGACCTAGAGATACACAATTGTACTGAAAATGTCCGTGATCTATTAATATCAATCCCGGATAGATCAGTGCAGTCAGAACGGCGAGATCTCTCTTCGTAAACTTGAATATATTGGACTCGTCAAACTTGCAACTACCCCACGAGCACGAATTGATCATAAAGTATACAATCGCCGGCAAATAAATCAAAATGTCCGCAATCAGGACGGTCAGTCTCATGAAGTACTTGTGCGTCGCGCTCTCGAATCCCCTGGACTCTCCCAGCTTCGCGAAGGAGGGATCTATCCGGTTCGCAACGTGACCTAATAGGAGGCTGTGGTACGCCGTTAAAGGTGGATAGTCTAAGCCCCAATACTGCAGATTGTTGTCAGTGGTATTGATGTACCACTTGTCAACTGGTAGATTCAACGTGATCTCCTGCCAGTGCCGTTGGGCCTCGTAGTCTCCATACATAGGGGGCCTGCCCTCTCCGCTGTGGGAATGGTAAGTAACGCAGCATCTCAAGAGAACGGCAAAGGAGGTGATCAAAGCGAGCTGCAGCTTTCCCTGCATTCTCCCTCATACGAGTAGCCACTCGTTTGTCGCTTTGAATCGAAACTACCCGGCAAGAATTTCGAGAGGGGGTTCCTGGCAAAATGGCACGTGGTCATGCGCTTTTATCTCGGAAATAACGGGAACTGAGAAACGAAAAGAGAGAAGAGGCGATGTTCTACGTACCACGTGTGAAGCTTTCAATCCCTCGGTCACTTTGTCTTTGATGTACTCCTCGCTATACGGCATATTCAGCCGCGGTTTTTCTTTGACAGCGAGCACCCGGGTGCTACCGAACGCGGGAACTGACGAGAACTAATCAGCAGTCAGCAGTCAGCACCTGTTAGCGTCTCCTACGCTGTCTACTTACGTCCCACGTCCCACTACCGACCGCCTGGTCCGCCTGCAGAGTGCAGTGTCGGCCTGTTCCATATCCCACGTCCCACGTTGCAGAATTAACATACCTGAAATATCGATTTCGATATCGATACCATGCGATTTATCTATTTATGGTATCGATCATCGATATAATCACCGGAGCGATCGGAGCATGAGCTTCATACGCGCAACGCGCTATCTGCGCATGTAGTTTTAAAACCAATATTTTACAGAGATAACGCTGCCGGTAAACAGCTAGGTATTTCGGTTCGTGTTCTAGCTGCGTCCATCGCAAATTATTACCTACCGACGAAATATTACATGGTATTGAATTTATAATTCGCATTATTAAACATTATTATTCGCATTATTATATATATATATCGCCGCAAAATTACATATTTTTTTTACAATTGTGATATAGGTAATCAAACGCGGATAGCAATAAAAGTGCAGTTTTAAGTAAAAATCGAGTATTATCGAGTCGTAAATATATGTTTAAGAAACATCATAATCTTGTCATTATATTATTACTATAATTATAAAATAATTGACGCTCTTTCAATAATTTCTTCGAAATGCCTATCTTGACAGAAATAACCCCAGATAGTTCGGCGCCATTATGCGCAACACGTCACCGCGCACGTATCGGCGATCTCGCGCGAGAAGGGCAGCGTAGCGGGGGAGAAGCGGGCCAATCGGAACGGCAGTCGCGAGCGCACACCTCCGCCGACGGGCCAATCGGCGTCGCGGGAACGCGACGGCGTCGGCGGCGCGCTAATCGGGGGAGCGAGGCGCGTCGACGAATTCCGATCGACGCGGCGCGGCGCGCGGCGCGTTATATTTAAGCCGTCCGCGGATCCGGTGGCCACGGGTACGCAGTCGGAACGTGGTGTCCCCGGCGGCGAGCGAAAATCAATATTTCCGTCGCGTCGCGAGGACCGAGAGAGCGCACAGCGGGCCGGTCGCCATTTGCCGTGCTATATTGCTCGCGCGCTCGACCGCTCGTCCCACGACCCACGACACGGCCACGACGACGGGGCCGCTGCTGCCGCCGTCATCACCGGTCAGTTGCGCCTCGCGCCGCGTCGCCTCGCCTCGCCTCGCCTCGCTTCGCTTCGCGATTTTTGTCCACGTATACGTCCGTCGGTCCGTCGCTAGACACGCGCACCGCGCACATCGACGAGTGTACTACGAGAAGAGAAGAGACCGAGCCAACGTCATCCAGTTGATCCAGTAGCAGCAGCAGCAGCGGCGGCGACGGCGGCGGCAGGATCCCGTTTCCTGCGCCTACATCACGCCTACAGCCTCGCCCGGGTATCTCGATTTACCGTGCGAGCATCGTCGTCGGCGAGCCGATTATCCGCGCGATCGTCGCGACTTGTCCTTCGCTCTCCCTCCTTCTCATCCTTCTTTCTCTCTCCCGTCCCTCAACGCTCCGTCCGTCAACCTGAGGGAGAACCAAGCCAGCCTCGGTGAGAAGGTGATATCCCGTTTCGGTGGCGCGGAAGCCGCGTCGCCGACGGCCTCTCTCGCTCGCCAATAATTCGCTCTTCCCTCCCTCTCTCCCGCTCGCCCCGCTCGCTCTTTCTCTCTCTCTTTCTCATCCGCCTCCCTTTCGTTGCCGCGCGCCGAAAACGATGGCGTTTCTGAGAAGTGTTCCGCGACGATGCTGCGCCGGCAAGAAGCTGGCCAAGTGCGGGGCGCCGCCGTTGGCCGTGGTCGGCCTCCTGGAGAACGCCGCGGCGGCGGCGACGGCGGCGACAGCGGCAACGGCAGCGGTTACCAGGGCACCGCCGTCGTTGCGGCTGGTTGCACAGGTGCGTGGCTACGCGACCTCCTCCCCCTCCGCCGCCGCCACTGACGTCAAGAAGCAAGGACAGCAGCAACACACGGCGCTGCCACGGCAGATCGACCCGCTCGATTTGAAGTTTAACGACCCGATCGCCTCGTTCAAAAGCAAGACCACCATGGAGCTGATGCGGGCCTACGTCGTCTACCAGATGTGCTCCATCGAGTACATCGTGGAGCACAACATGAAGGTGAGGGAGAACCGCTTGTCTTGCTTGTTCAGGTTTAGGTTTAAGCTTAGATCCCTCGACCCAACTCCGATCAGCTTGATTTCAGTCATTCGTTTCAGTCAGGCTACGTATATCTGCCTGCCAGCTGCCAGCCTGCCTGTCTGCCTGCGACACTTCGCATTGATATGGGTAGAATCTTTCATCTTTCCGTCGCTTGGCAAAGGAAGATTGAATCCAGGGCAGAGCGGTCACGTAACTTATCCCCTAGAGCGGAAACGTGAAAAGTGAAAAGTTTCACGTAACAATCTCTTTCTATTGGTGTTGAATAGAAAGAGATAGTCGCATGAAATTTTGCACTTTTCACGTTTCCACTCTAGGGGAAAAGTTACGTGATCGCTGCCCAGGAAACTTGTATAGATCTATAGCTTGAATATTGTGCTAGTGAGCAATGATAGTTGAAGCGATCGCCGTTTAAGCTAGTCGAAGCTAGTTCAAGCCGATTGTGCGAAATTGATCGGACGCAAGTTGATTTATCGTATGTCATAAAGTACATTCTTTCTATTGAATGAAAAAGAATCGAACTTATCTTTCGAAAGCTACCCTGGGGTCTCAGGAATCCTAATGAAATTTTTTAAATCGTATTTTTTTGTTATATTTTTTTTACAAATTCTGAAATGACTACCATAAATCTCAGAAAATTTACGATCGTTTAAAAAAAACATAACATTACAATATCTTGATATTTTTGAAACTTAAAAGCAAAGAATGGCTGGGGTCCTCCAGACCCCATGTGGCCGACTTACACGTATGCAAAAAATGAATGTGGCCTGCGAGGGTTAAAATGCACCGCAATATACGACTCAAGTTATTTTTCTTCCTTCTGTAAATGAAATGTAATGTAGAAAGGAATAGTGAAACGTTATTTCAACTTTTTTTTCTCTCTCTTTCTGATGAAGAATCTGTTCTTATTTTTAAATATAAACATTTATTTATTCTACTTCTCTCGCAGAGAACGTTGAAATGCAATACGAATTTAAATGACCCTGAATCTTTTCGAGCCATTTATAAACGACCATTTATATTTATATAAAACGATAAATGACGTGGAAATTCTCGGATGATTTACGAATAGCCAGAATCTTTTTCACAGTCGATTTAACTTCAAACGCGATAAGCTTTGACGATCTCGATAATTTAGCAATGTTCTCCTCGTGAAGGTTTTGACGCATCTGTACGGCACGCACCTGTCGCAGATGCATTTCTCACATTCGGAAATATGAATTTAACTTATTAAAATCTTCAGCCAGCGATCTAATCCCGGCTTGATTTCCAAGTATCGCGATACGTGCCGTACGCGGCGCTCTAAACACGCGCGAAATAGCACGACGGTCTCGCTTTGCAATCAATCACCGTATCGCTCAATCCGACAGGACGCGCTAATTACTCGAGCTTTCTAAGCGGCGCGGAATCCCGCGCGTACGTTATGACGTAATCGTCTCGCGAGGTAAATAGCCGGTCGCGACGGTATGAGTTAGCACTAACCTTGGTTAACGTGCCTCTCACCTGATCTACATTATCACGAAATATCTCGGGAAGGACGTCGCTCTCCAGGGCAGTCTAGGGTGGTCCCTGTGATCTGAAAAGCGGGTCAGAGGTTGACGCTCGATCGGGGACGGATTTCCGATAGCGGAACAACAACCGGCGCAACAATTCCCGCAGGAGTCGCTCGCGATATCGCCCGAGGTAGAGACCCTATAATAAGAGACTGGCTATAAGACAGCCAGTTTTGATTGTTCCGCCAGTTTTGTCAAAAGCAAGAGAACAGAAAGAGAAAGAGATATAAGAGAGAAAGAGGGAACGAGATATGAATATAAATATATCCTCTCTCGCACGATTTTGACAAAACTGGCTCTTAGAGTTTCTAGCCCGAGCTGGGCCTCGAGTAGCATTTCGTTTTTGCGGTAGGTCGATCGCGGTAACTTTCCAGGGGAAGGGGTCCAAGTATCGATTTACCGTCTTTCTAATCGCGTCGCTCGATCCTGCCTGGCCCGGCCGATCGATAAATCTATCACGATCGCGCGATAACCGTGATCTTGAACGTAATAATTGATAACGCCGCGGACCTTGAGACCTTGGAAAAGAAGGAAACAGGAGGATCCATCTTTTTCTTCTTTTGCGTCTCGCAGCGATCCTTCGTCCTCTTCACCGGAACTTATTTCCGTTAAGTCGCCCCGACAATGGTGTGGCACGACGCGACTTTATTGATTTCGCCGGACACATCTGATCGACCTAGGAATTTTGCCGCAAACCATCGCCGCCGTCGCCGCCGGGGGCAATTACATAACCGCCGCGTCCCAAGGATAGACGTGTAGTACGTTCTGCCACGCGGAATCCAATCGCGATTTCCTTACGTTCAGAGAGTCGCCGATTCCGCCGATTTTTCAACCATTGTGCCACGATGCAGCAATTCCTACACGCATGTATGCGCTCCTAAGTAACGACTTGGCTGAATTCGAATTACTATTGACCAAATTGGTTTACTTAATGAGTACAATTAATTGCCAACGAATTGCTTATCGGCATTCCCGTAAAATTACCAGTCGAATAAAATTACTTGTTTCTCAGTTTATCGCTGAAACGACAAATATTCTCTTAAAATCGACACGCTCTTCGCATTCACAAAAGTATCCCGAGTAACGACAAGTATCCTGGCGTTTATCTTAATTTGAGTTTGCAAATAATATGCAATTATAGATAACCATGTTGATCTATTTTTGTATAAACGTTTTGACGTAAAAACTGGCACGAAGAGTTTTGAAAAGGCGTTTTTAATTTGTGTATATGTCCTCCGCGAGAATTTCATAAAAACAAGGAATATCATTTAGATATTTCTTTTAATTAGTTTCGTACACAATTGCGCACTCATCGTACGTAATTGCGAGGAAGTAATTCAGTATGTATAACTCACTTAGTTTTTCTGTCGCGCTCACAAAGCAAGGTGCAAAATAATACGACAATTGTTATTAGATACTTTGTAAGAAACGTGGTCGTGTCTTTTTCTGAATGTTCGCTTTCAGAGAAGTCGACCGCGTTATAGATTTTCCGTGTTTGCGTATACGTGGTCGTTGCGGAATACATCTTGACATTCGCGAACGGTACGAAATAATACGTTTGTCTAGCTGTCGAACTTTACGTAACGTAAAATTCATTACGTCCGTCGACCGCACGCAATCGCGCGCGATAAATCATCCAACGGATGTGAACGTTGTGCGGGTTGTGCCGCGTTGTTTGATTAACGTCTCGGTCATTCGACGTGGCATAATTCAGCGTCGCAACGCTAATTGTAAAACGTGTCGTGTTTTCCCCTTTACGGTCGAGAAATATTTTTTCGAACGCGACGGCGAGCTATTTCCCTTTTCTTCCTCGTCTCGATATTCCCGTATCGATCGTGCCCGTTCCAATGTCGCGATTCTCCGCCGGTTCGCCGCGAGTCGTAATAATTCTCATCGCGGACGAGCCATATATCGGGCCGAGCCCGAGCCCGAGCATATTCTCGATGGATTACAACGAAGCCATAAATGCGACGTAAAATAAAAAATGTCACGGGAAAATTGGCTAGCGATAATTGCACCGAGCCGAGCCGTGACAATTAGCGCGGCTTTGATTTTATCACGACGCTCTTATCACGATAGTCTTTCGACTCGTTGTAAATATCGCGAGAGGTAAATCTATTGTTAACTCGATAGCACGATAAAAGGTTAATATTAATAAAAATAGATTAAGAAAAGAAGAAAGATCTTTTCTTCAAACCGCGGATTGCTCGTCGCAGCGAAACTTTCTACTTTTCTATCGAAAGCTTTTTTCGATTTCGATAGTCAAAATCTAAATTTAGGTTGAAAGATCAGAATGGTTATAAGAAGGAATGCGTTTCTCGAGACACTCGGTTAATTCCATGAGAAACCGCAGAGAGGAATTCGCGTGCAGACCTTCACGAACGAAAATTGCACGAGAACGTTATACTGCGCGAAGTCGCGTATCGCTCGCCGACACCGATGCAACCCTGAGAACGTGACCTGACCTCAGGGGGGGACGTTGGCTGCCTCGTTCTCTCGAGCCAGACTCCGCTCAGACGGTGTGCCAGACCAAGCGGCACCTCCCATACACTTTCCATAAATATTACACATGATCGAGCACGCCGGCAGCGTGAATTGGAAAATGGTAATTCGTAAAAATGATTTTGAAAGTGAACAGTTTTAACAAACACATAAGATAAACTTAAAGTTTAGTTGCATGGGCAAACTCAATGTAACGTTTAGGATGATCGTGGTCAGTCTCTTCGAATAAATACGAAAGCTTTTAAACTTGTTTATTGCACCCCGCTTCTCGAAAAATATATCTTTTTCTTATTTTTTTCCTCAGTGTAATTACCAATGTTATTCCCTTGCGCACATGTAATTATGACATGTAATTATGTTTTCTAACAGTAATAAGCGCTGCGTGGAATATCGATCTTCGTGCGTCGCCGGGCTGAGAAATGATACGGGTCACTTGTCGCACGCTGAAGATTTTAGAATGTATCCCTAGAATTTAGAAGAGAAATAAGAGAGATACGAGAGTTGGTATTTGGACAGTTTGATGACATCGAATTGGCAACAAGATGAGGTCCGGTCTATCTATTCGGCCCTGATCGCACGGCTCTTGCATCTTTCGCGAATTATTACGCTTTCGCGCTGCTTTCGTTATGCAACGCTCTACGATAAATCGCTCGGCGTCGCTGCGTCTGCCGCTCCCGTTTTTCGCGCATCGATTGGACTGTCTCTCGGTCGCCTCTTCTCGAACTCACCCTGACGTGGACGTCTTCGAGAAGCACTTTTCGTGTCCTTCACTTGAACTCCCACTTGATACATCTTCCTTTGATTGTCCAGCTATTGTCGAACGATATTAAATTGCACGTCTCATCTCTCGCTTGACTAGCGTAAAAAATCGGAGCAGCTCCAATTCCCAAAAAATGGATCGCTCCTGATACAGAGCTTTCTGACCTCTTTGCACGAGGTTGCTTGTGTTTCAGGGCAAATCCAGCGAAACACATCGTTCCGCCAGATTTTTATCAAAGTTGACGGATGCGCTGCTTATGCATTGTATCTCAAAACTCGGCCGTTTCTGGCGCGGCAGTTGGGTAAACGAACTGACGGACCGACAGGTATTCCTTTCCTTCGGCCTCTCTTGGTCGGTACGTCTGTTCTAAAAACAGAAACTTCTCCAGATACGCTCTTGAAATACCCGGATTTCGGTCAACTCCGGCGCGCACATGTGAGTCTTCCGGCTGGTATGACGTAGGAAGTAGGAACGCGACACGAGAGCGGTCATATGTCGTGTCAATCACGCGGGCAGTCCCACACGTGTGCGCGGGAGACGAGCTGGCCGATCGGTATAACGACGCGTACAAGTAACCCCAAGGCTGTCCAGTCGTCTGGCGCCTCCTTGTGCGATCAAGGACGGACGAACGGATGGATTGATTTCCAACGAGTAGCCAATTCGATCCTAGTCGAACCGCTCGCCTAAATGCCAACTCTTACACCTCTCTCGACCCTACTGTAATGTTCCTCTCTCACTTTTTTCTTCCCCCAATTGCGATTCTAAAGATACCAGCGTTAGATCCCGCCGTCAATAGGCAGTAATAATTGAAGAAAAGGACATGCTCGTCTCTCGAACTTAAAGAAACACTCATTTAAAGAATGAAATGAATGTATTGAAGAATTCAACTTGAAAATTAGGATTAGAGTATCATCGAGTATCATTGAGAATCAATTCAACTTGAAAATTAGGATGAATCATTGTGAGACATCAGTGAGACATCCTGCGGAACTCGGCGGAATGATTGTTTAGATTAAATTGATTGGCAAAGAATTAAAAATAGACGGTTTCGTCGATGTCGATCGGCGTTTCTGAAACAAATCGACATTATCGATATTATTTCAAGTACATCACGCGCGCCTCTTATCTGTCGCAGGTTTTCCCCGATTATTTACAGACGCACAATAATGCTCGCCTATCATTCTACAGGATAACTCGATCTTTCGATATGATCGTCGTCAGATGACTCGCCGAATCTGAAGTGCAAAAGAAATTAGTTCTTAGTCCGATTCATTCGATGTCTCGCTAATATAAATCAGAAATTACGAAGACGATAAGAGAGAATGTTATTAAAATAGGGAATGCACTTGACTTTCGAGGTGGTTCGCGGCCAGGAATTTTTCTAGATCGATCGCCAGCTTGAGTCGCAACCCGCGTATCGCCGCACCGCATTCTCCAGTTGCACTATCGACGAGACGTTGATAATAGATATATATATAGTTCGACGAACCGTGCGACTACCAAGAACTGCATTTATCACTGTCAAACCGTAATAACATATACGTATGTGTCGTTCTCGGTAAACATATACTTGAGGTGTAAGTGGGAAGAATGTAGGTATAGTGTTGTAATTTAATTTGGTGGTAGAATAATGTTTCTCGTTTGCATTACCTAAGCCGTACGAGTGGTGGTCTCGAATTGTCTTACCGGTCGTAGTTGTATAACATCATTTTCGAACAATATGCGAGCTGGTCCGAGCTGGTTTTGGCACACAGCAGCGACTCTGATTAATCTCGCGCAGCTACATAACGCGACGTCGCGTTGCGTCGGTGACAAAGTCGACTTTTGTAAACCTATATGTATAGATTCGCGGGAGGCCGATCAGCTGAGAGTGCTGTGACATATTCGCGATCAGCGTAATTCTACTCGCTCTTCTAAGTGGGCGAAATTTAAAGAGAACACAAACATAATTACAACATCGTGCGAGGAACTCGTCACCAGACGCGTCACAGCATGGGAAAATTTATCAAGCGATTTATGCAGGCACGCACTCTGTTTAGGCTTATCAATAGGTATATATAACGTTGGCAAACGTTTCGGTGAGCTCCGGGAGGCCCTCGAGTTTGGCAAACATAACAATGACTTAAGTGGCGACGTTAAGTACATACATACACTGTCGTCCGTGTAACATGTATCGACCTGCCTATCTGTTTGCATAGCACTTAAGAATCCGCATTTCCAGTTTGCTTTGAATTATCACTTCGATTACGAGCTATCCTATATTAATTGCAACTACAGTCACGAGTATTTATGTGTTCACGTCTAGCGAACGATTAAAACTTTTTCTAACCGTCGATTTTTATTCTGTAATTTATCACAAATTACTGTCACAATTGAATTGGAATGTAAACTTTATACCACGTGCCCCTCAATCATTATTATAGATTGTGTGAAGTATACGAAAAGTTTATCAGGGCAATGAAGCGAGAAGTCTTATGAATGACGGTAAAATTAGAACCGACTTCCAGGCGCGTCGCGTCGCTGGTTTTCGCTGCATCCCAATTTTATTTCTACGATTTCATCTGACGAAACCCGAGCGGATCGATAAGGGGACAGGATTGTAATCAGCGACTTCTTCCTGTCGTCGCAAGATTGTTTCTATTTTAACAATCTGACTAATCATCCTTCCTTTCACGTGTGAGCTTGCATTACGCATTTCATTGCGGAATATACCTCTGCCGTTTATTTCTCATCAGATTCGGCTAATCTGATGAGAGATAACACCCGCGTCTCGCCGATTTATATCGCGAACGTCAAGTTTATTTTTATCTGGAAATTCCTTTACTCGCGCGGATCAATCGCTTCCTTCGCTTGGAGAGCGATAGATTTTTTCTATAATCACACAAGTTTTTTAGGAGCGACCGGAGCTGCACGTTTTCGCGCTCATTCCTCTATGCAAAGATATAAATAGGTGATATGTGCATGTACCTATATAGAAAGGAAAATACCGTCGCGATATAGAAGGAGTAAACAGGTCCAGCAAACCATCCGGGTCGCAATTCGACACACTGATGAAATGGTACTTTGACATTTCCATATATATTACACTCAATAAAATGTAAATGACTGACGTGCCTATATGATCTACGATATCGCAATTTCGCAACGCTATGAATCACAGAGTGTAAATTATGACTGATTATATTGTTAGCATCGGACGTCGGTGTTGTTAGCGAGCAATTAACGTTATAGCTTTGGCTCTCATAAATATATATTCGTATATACACGACGTGTTTATATTCATCTGTGTACGCGCGCGTGTACCGCTTGTCTCTATACACGTGGAAATTCACATATGTATACCCCGTCATAATTTATATTTTATCTCCTGAATACCGAATGTGTACTTTATCTACCTACGTGCAAGTAACAAACGTGTTATGATTTTATAAAATTGTATGAAAGCTGCATTTTTTATTTTTAAACTCTTTAAAATGCTATTGAAAATTTTTATTATCTTCCTCTTATATTTTACATACTTTTCTTCTTACGTATTGGACCTTTTGTACTTTATATTCATATTCTTTATTTAAATTCGACTATGACTTTTAATGACAGGAGGGATGAAAGGGTCAACGGCGTATTATTCCCGGGGGCGAGCATTTCGTTCGTCAGGGGATCGATATGCCGATCTTACGTAATCGTTAGGTGCAATTTAACCCACATTTTTATTGCGAGGGCGTACCTACTGCCTACAATAACGTTTTCGTCTCTCCGCGCGATTACGTAATGCTCGCCCCCGAAGCTGACTCTCGAACGAAGAATTAGCTGCGATTTTATTTTTACATTTTTTTTTCTTCATCCTCGCGCATTACGTTACTGATTGTGAGCTTCGTCAACGAAATGCTGAGTATGTCTCAATGGTTGAATTTTGTACAGTTTATGAAACTGGCCAAGGCAATGCTGGGTGAAAAGCTGTTCACGAAGCTCATGAAGGCGACGTTCTACGGTCACTTCGTCGCCGGCGAAGACGAGGTGCAGATCACACCTGTCTTAAATAGGCTGCGGCAATTTGGCGTTAAACCGATCCTCGATTATTCCGTCGAGGAGGACATCTCGCAGGAAGAGGCCGAGCGGCGCGAGATCCAGTAAGTTATTTGCTTTACATATTTTCGCGATCGCGAGAATTTACGCTATCGCGATTATTGCGTGATGATGATTCTTTTTATTTTTCGTACGGCGTCCTTGCGAGAGCAACGCGCTGTTCCGTAGCTCGAGTCCCGTCGTCAAGTGTGAAATTTAAACCTGCGTATCGCTTTACCGAACTAATATCGGATATAGCTCTCTATTTACATCCGCTTATCTTCGCTTCTGTGCGTGAAGAAAAGATTGGACTTTAATTTCCATCGGTATACGTGATTGAAGAATTGCAATCCGTAGAGATGGGAAAAAAAATCGAGAGTGAAATCTAAATAGAAAAAAATCTAATGCAGAGAGGCGCGGGTTGCGATGATAACGAGTGTCCAAACACCCGCCGAATATTCGGTATTCTTCCATTTCAGAGCCTCGGTGTCGGAGGCGGGCGACGAGAAGAGGGAGGGCCCGCTGAAAAAGTATCACGTGGAGAAGTCGTTCGCCGATCGGCGATACAAGGTGTCGTCGGCCAGGACATATTTCTACCTGAACGAAGCGTCATGCGAGCGAAACATGGATATATTTATCAGGTGTCTGGAGGCTGTGGCGAGTGAGTCACAGACTTTATTTTTGGCCTTCTGTAGCATTTTAAAATCCTTCCTAATCCTCGAGATCGCCATCTTTGACGGCGCGACATTGAGCTATACAGGATGTCTATCACAGTCCGGCTTAGAACTGATTTTTCAGCTTAAGCTTCTTGAACTTAAATAATCTTGAAGTTAAATAATAAAAATATTTTTGCCGACATGTAAATTAGAAGTCCATATTTTTTTTTATCGTTTCGATCTATCTCGTCAATTAACGTAGACAACGAAGATTAAATTCGTGTAAAGCGCCACAGACCGATCTCTTCCGCATTATCCAGGGTTTTTTTTTTTTTAGTACACTTTGACCTTCTTCGGATATTCGAACGATGTAGGTGGCCGAACGGGTCACGTATCGCCATCCATGGAAATCAATACTCCGATTTACTATCTGTTAAGATTACTGCATTGTTATATAACTTGATCTTCACGTGATTACTATTACACGAGCGCGATTATCGATTCGCTGATTACGTGGAGATTAATATTCGCTGTGTGATACTAATTCGAGCGCTGCTCGTAAATGGACAATCAAATGTATGCGAAGATATATGAAATAAATAAATTGACTGAACGAGTTGGGCAATTAAAATAAAATGAAAACTTAAAGTTACGTTTAATCGAATTTAATGAAACTGTGTAACATGGCGGAGAGGTTGTTTCCCGAGGGAGGGGTAATAGCGTAATTACGGGGGCGCGACTCGAACGTCACGAAGTCGCGTGCAACATCGATCGCCGCCTTCAACGAATTTTCGGTTCTCGTTGACGCGAGAGCACACGCCTTTTCCTGATGACGTGTGTTACGTTGAGTAGTATATACAAAATATGCCAGTGCGAAAAAGAAGGAGAAATAGCGCGTGCTCTCACCGTCGCCGATGACGACGATGGAATGGATCTTTCGAAATTCCACGAGTCAGGCACAGGCCAGTCGTAACTCGGCTATAAATATCGGTACGTGAGCGGATCACCGTTTGCGCTTTTCGCCCAAAATTATGTGACGTAACGTGTCGGAGACATTTAACGGACATAAAGCTGTCACCAGTTGATTAATGTCTAAGAAATAGAGAGGAAAATAAAAAAGTCGATATATACTTCAGATAAAGAATATTGCTTCGTAAATTTACTAACTTTTACAGAGGATGAAGTTAAGACTCTACAGCTGAAATATCCCCCCTCCCAGAATATTACCACTCATGCCCAAGCCGATCCTTATCCCGGTAAGAAGACACTACTTCCCTTCTTTCCCCTGGAATCTTCTCCATATCTCCACATTTTTTCTATCATCTTGAAATATCAAGCGCTTTTGTGCGCGCTCTTTCTTTTGCGAAAAAATAATTGATTTCATTAATGCTATAACATGACGTAACACAAAATATATCCTTGCAGGCGCTTCGATGGGAATGGGCATCACAGCCGTTAAATTAACGGCGCTTGGTCGGCCGCAGCTTCTGGTTAGTAACTTTATTTTTACTGCTGACTTTAATTGTTTATCTGTAAACGTATGATTGTAATGAAATAATTTTTGTTTTAGCTGCAATTGTCAGAGGTAATTATGCGCGCACGGCAGTATACGTCCGACGTTATCGGCGGCGAGGGTGCCGTTCTGACACATCACGCGAAGCCTGATGATTTCAGGAAAAAGTTTGAGGAGGCACACATCAAAGACGAGGAATCGGTGCAAAAGTTCCTTCAAAAAATTCAATCGGATAAAGAAGGGTACGAGATTCAAAATCAAGAATAGAAGCGACCTTTTAATACAGAACGATATTGTAAGCACAATGGATATTTTTGTCCACACAGTGTGATTCACCTTTTTCCGTGGAGCGGTATTCTAGACGAAAATTACGAACTGAGCGAAACGTTCCAAGTACCTGATATTAAGACGGGCAAGATGGTCAGGCTGATGTCACAACTCACGTCCAAGGAAGAGGAAATGTTTAGGAACATGATCAGGCGTCTAAACACTATCGTCACGGTATGCGTTAAGCAATGAAATTTTTTTTATTAATTTTGAAGTTAATTTATAATGAACGTCAAATTATAACAAGACTATTTATAATTTTTTTTTGTTTACAGGTGGCTGACAATTTGGATGTTCGTATCATGATAGATGCAGAGCAGACGTACTTCCAACCGGCCATTTCTCGCCTGACGTTGGAGATGATGCGCAAGTACAATACAAAAAAGGTAATGTCCTAACGTTCTCAGGGGATCGCGACGTTATCACTTAGCTACTTTTCAGTGAATGATATTCTCACTGCCAAATGTCGGTCTACTTCTCAGGCTGTGGTATTCAACACTTACCAGACGTATCTGCAAGAGGCATATAACGAGGTGAAAACGGATCTCGAACAGGCGGAACGCCAAAATTTTTATTTTGGTGCTAAACTCGTTCGCGGCGCGTACATTGAGCAGGTTTGTAAACATTTCTCTTATTCTTTGAATTAATTTCGCTGAATGGCGCGAAATACCGAAGAGTTCTTATCCAGGAAAGGGCAAGAGCGGCAGCTATGGGTTATCCAGATCCCACGAATCCAACATTTGAGGCGACGACCGAGTCCTATCATAAGACGCTCATGGAGTGCCTGAGGCGGATGAAACAGTACAAGGATAAGGGAGAAGATCCCAAGAAAATAGGAATTATGGTTGCCTCGCACAATGAAGACACCGTGCGTTTCGCGATCGAGAAGTAAGTTTCGCCGCGATTCAGTTCTATCTTTATTCTTGCTGCGAGAGAATATCAACGTGTATCTATATATACAAAATATCGTTTCTACGTTTTTTTAGAATGAAAGAAATCGGAATTTCGCCGGAGGATAAAGTCATATGTTTTGGTCAGTTATTAGGAATGTGCGACTACATAACATTTCCATTGGGTATGCAATAATTGTTTAAGCTCAAATGTTGTTCTCACGATGAGGTAAAGTATACACATGCATTGAACAAAATTTCCAGGTCAAGCCGGTTACTCCGCGTACAAGTACATCCCATACGGACCGGTTAAGGAGGTGTTGCCGTACTTGTCGCGGCGCGCACAAGAGAATCGGGGCATACTGACGAAGATCAAAAAGGAGAAACGCCTATTATTGAATGAAATCACGAGACGTATAGTGCGCGGAAAGATCTTTTACAAACCCAAGGGCAATTACACTCCGGTTTGAGCAGTCAATTTAGTTGCACACAGACAGAATTTTAAGTATCAAATTTAAGTAGTGATTGTAAATTATCGAGAACTCTCCTGAAAGTACTTGATGCGGGCACTTCGGATTGAAGTAACTTGACAGACCTGTTACTGTGGTACTCGGAAGAAAGAGAGAGAGAGAGAGAGAGCGTCGTGCGCGCTGCGCGCAGGAGTGTGTACGTGAGACTTAAGGGTATACGCAGTGTTATCTATTACGTAAAAATCGCCTTAGTGTTGTATTGTCGAATGTACCGATGCTCAAAGCTACTGAGTAAAGCTACAGTATGTATTCGTTGCTCGTTTCGTTCGTCGTTATTAAAGAAGATGCTAGTGATTGTGCTATAATTTAGTTTCACTCACGAGAAGGTGTTTTCACAAAGATCGAGCAAAGAAAGTTTAAAACCAATCAACTCTTTCCATGGTTAATGCGTAAATTATCAATGGTTTTTTAACGATATTTTCTGTGCACAGTATTAAGGATCGACCGGATCGATCAACGGCTTTTTTTGCTATAAACGCAACGACGATGACGATTGGTAATCTTGCATCGGTGTTTTTAGCACATTTGCGTTCTTTTCAAGTTTTACAAGTTTCTTTAAGAATCTCGTCGAATATTTTCCATGTGTACATAATACACGCGCGCATATATTATTTATGATTCGTGTTCACCTAAATGTCTTATCGTCCATAGTATCGGTAACATTAAAAAGGAAGGGGCGGGAATAGGAAGAAACAAAGGACATTGCGCATAAATCAAGATGTAATTGTACGATTTGCTACCATCTCAACGATTATCGCTCACGTGAACGTAGAACTGTTTAGAGCATTCGCGATGCATATATAGCAATCTTATCAAGAAGATTGATAGTAACTGCATCGCGTGCGCTTCCATTAAGCGTAAAACGTCGCTGATGAGCGTTTTAATATGTGGAGAAATGACCATGTTTGGATAAATGAGAAGAGATTAATAACACGCGTATTACGAAAAGATAGTTTTTAGGAGTGCGGTGAGATAACAGGGTGAAAGTATAATAAAATTCAGGGGTATCTTAGCGAGAGACGTGCTTTAGCACGAAGCAGGAAAGAGGAAGAGAGAAAGGGAGACAGAGTCGTTCTTCGTAGTGCACGCGTCTCGAGTCACGTGAATACAAAAGTGATTTTGGGCTGGCTAACGAAAGTCGGAGAGATCTGCGAGAAACGCGATATTTCTTTTGTGATACGTTAATAGCCGTAGTTAAGCCACACAATACACGAGATATTAGTCCCACTTCGCTTCAGCCTAAAATTGCTTCTCGAGTTACAAGATAATTCGTAAGAAAAGCGTACGCGGCGCCGTTGGAGGACACCGCAAATATTGTTGGTAATAAAAAAAAAGAGATGTGCGTTCCGTGCACTCATCCTCATTGTTTCTTTCCAAGGAAGAAGACAAAGGACTGTTTTAAAAACAATAAATTCATGCCGTTATTCGAATAAGAGTTTTAAGTATTAACGAATCCTTTTCTCATCCGTCGTGAGAAAAATTACATCTCGAAGGAAGAAATTTATCGGAGATTAGGCTATGATCTGATTAATGAAAGAGAGAATTGCGTCCAGTCTGATGCGTTTCGTATAATTTAGCGTTACTCGTCGATATCGATGCGGGACGGTAATTCGCGACTTCGAAAATCACGATCATGCAATCAACGATCAGCAAGTTACGATATAATTTAGCCTGTAAGATTGTACAAGCGTTTCCGAGGAGGTTGCGTAGCGCATTCTGATATTCTTAGGCCAGTATTTCCTTTATACTCGCGATAGACGACTCAATGATGTACTTCTCCAATTGGTACTATTACTATCCTTATTTTCTTTTTTTTTCTACCTTGCAGATTGTCATGATTATACTCAATCATTTCGTTTCTCTGGACGATCTATACGCGAGTGCAGTCATTTGTGATCTCCTCTCTTTTTGCTGTATACGTTATGCGAAAGCGTTTACGTTCAGAATATGTGTGTATGTAGCCTACATTTATACACGACTGTAATAATCCAAACGAGATACGTTTGCGTAGGGTATTTACTCGCTTCATAGAGACGCACTGCGTGCGCGACATTGATCGATTCGCGAGAGGAAAGAAAAGGAAGGAAGAATTATATCGAGTCTAGAGCAAGTCTAAAACTTTCGCTGTGAATCATGTGTGTAAATGCTGGGAGAAAGAGAAAAGGAAAATGAGAAACATGATCGATGAAGAAATAAATAAAGGGGCATTGTTACAAGTTACACGGGCTAATAGCTAAAATCTAAAATGTTTCCATGTGTCTATGTGGTATACCGGATGTGCGTGGATGCGTGCGTGCGTGTATCTATGCGTGTATGCGTGTATGTATGTGCGTATATTTCTAAACGTTATACATTGACAAATTTGATTGAGATTCAAGGCTTTCTTCAAAGCCGGCTAACTCGTGCCCTGTCACGCTCTCGCGAGAACGCGAGCTTCTACTCGCGGTCCCGTTAAGACGTAAAATGCTGACAATAACTTAGATAGACAATGTTGATGTATATATACATATATGTATATATATACAGACGTAATAGGTGTATGAGTTCTGTCACTCGCATTTATGTCACTCATTGGAAGTTAGAAGAGAGTGGAGCGTGAGACCGATGATGCGTCCCGAAGATATGAAGGTGTTTATCAGAAACCGATGAAGAAACGTCGCGAAACTTCCGAGTACTCTAATTCGAGTGCTCGGCGTTTTACTGCCAAAGCGTTCGAGTGACAACGAGATATTAATCCATTGCTATCCTTTTTAGTCGAATTTCCCAGTAGTTTTGCGTTCTAAGAGTTGTGGAGGTGATTTCGCCGATCTTCTCCTCTACTTCTTATTCTCTAAAGATCGTTCTCTCTCTTTTTACGTGCAATTCTTTTTTTTTTCTTTTTGTTCAATCGACGCTCGATGGTTGGCTGGTTTACAGTCCTAACGAGCTCTTAGAAATTCATATATCGTCAAGTCGACGTTCGTTAACGAGGAAGAGAAGATCGGCGAGATCTGCCATGAGTCTCGTGGCGATTAGCGCTTTTAGTGTATTAGTTTACGAAGTACAAAAACGAATGGACAACCAACGATCTCTATGATGAAAGTAATTCCAAGAATTAAATATAGGAGAGCGGAGGGAAGATAAAGAGAGAAATGCGTGCGATTTCGGAAGGGATTTCGAAGCGTGTTCGCTTTTTCTTGGGGACATAGGTGGGCGGGTGATCTCGGGAATGGCGATTTTGCGCGTCGAAAGTGAATTAAAGCATCGATCGATATAAAATAAGATAATATTTATTATTTCATGAAATACAGATAATATATGCCTTTCCCCAATGCCACTGACGATATACATTCCTTGCTCCGCGCCTCGCTAGGACACCGAACGTTCTTCTCGTTTCCCGTTTTTCCCGCCCCCTTCAAACTCCCCCCTTTTTTCTCGCCCCGCGGACAATCCTTCCTCGGCGAACCGGAAGTAAGCAAGTTTTATTGCTGAGTAAAAAGTATGGATTTGTCCGCAAGCGTTTTTGCGTCCTAGCGATTTTTTTTCCTCTCCTTTCACACCTCGAAACCACGCGTTCTTTCTATCTCTTTTTATCCAGTCGTCGTCCTGCGATCCTTACTCTCGATCAAGCGTAATACGATTAACTCGAACATCGGAAAACATGTACGAGACGCATAAAAAACTTTATCGTAAAATGGGATAGGTTCGTACCGACGGAAGCAGGGGTCCCGAAAATAAACAGTAATGAAGTAATATTTCACTCCTAATTCGCAAAAATATTGTTAATTTAAACAATTATATATATCCTCGGCTTGAAATTATTGTTTACATAAAAAGTGCGACGTGAATCATGAGACGAAAAAAACTTGGAGAGACTTATAGATTATTTCTTTCACACTAGGGGATCTTGAAATTGTTCTCTTTTCACGGTGACGCAAAAAGTTATCCTCGTCAACGCACTTTCACTGCATATTCGCCGCGTTACTCCGTGATACGTTCGTCGTACAAACAATACGCCACGTCCCCGTCGTGGGGAGGCAGATGAAAACCAGGCTCCGTTTCCGCCGGATGATGTATGTCAGTGATATGTTACTCCCCCCCTTCCCCCAATCGTTCTAATTTAACATTCGACTCGCCTACACTTGTAACATTAAACGAGATAACACTTATTAATCTCCCTTAAACTTTACGATTACAATTTCGCATTACTTAGCTCTTAAGATCCGTAACAAAAACGTCAACTGACGGTCTGCGAACCGGGCGACGATTGCCGCTAACGCAATCCGGAAGGATGTCCTAAACGTCTAAATGCCTCGTAAACGGGCGATCGTATTTCCGCGACTCGCGCGAATGGCCGCACCACCCCCTTTCTCATCTACAGAATATTAGCGGAAGTCGCCTTTGTTGAAAGTCTGATATTCGGGAGGATATCCCCCTCGTCGCCCGCGATTCTCATCGACGAAAATTATCGTCATAAAAAATCTTACTCGAGTTTACCGTGATGTTTAAATTGTTAAAGGCGCTTACAGTTATCGCTAGACTCGGCCCTAGGCGTCGATTTCTCTTCAATCTTGACGCCGATCGCGGGCTCAGCTCCGACGCTCGCATAATTTCGAGGGTGATCAGTATACAAAAGGATAGGGAGTCGTTTCACTCAAAAAATCGATGAGCCCGTAAGACTCGCACACGAGCATCTACGATAGATAGGGAGGTTTGTGTACGTGTGGGTACGTGTATATATATATATATTAATTTATATCGGGAGTCCCACGCGGGACGACTATACCTTGTTGTAGCTTGGCTTGAAAGACATCAGGTACATCTCGACGTTTCGTTACGTCAAACGGTGATTCGCTCGAGTGATACAAAACGGTACGCTCGATATTAGAATACGATATATATGTAGATATTACATACACGTGTGTACGTGTATGCGCGTGTCGTTTCCCCGCTATTCAGTCGTGTGCATCGATCGCACCGTAGCGAGAAAGCGTATTTGTGTACATATACATATGATATATATACATATATATGTACATACACATGTAGTGTCTGTATACACAGCCGTTCCATCCAGCGTTGGAAGAGCGATCCTCGCATTAATCGCAGCTCGAACGCGCCTGGAGAGAGAGAGCTTTAAAGCGCCCATCGATCGTCCCCGTCCTCGCTCCAAATTCGCACGAGAGCGAGAGAGAGACGGAGAGACACGGAGCACAGAACTCTCTCCCGAGAGCCGAGTGCTAAATAGGACACTGCAATAACTCGCAATGCTCCGCGCTCACACAAGACACGCTGGATACTGCGTCGAGGTTGCACGCTGGATTACCCGCTCTCGCGACTAACTCGAATCCTTAGTCGCAAGTTCGAGAGAGGAGTCTCTCTCTCTCTCTCTCTCTCTTTCTCTTCTTCATCTTTTTCTTCTCCTGTGTCAAGACTGTAAAAAGAGTACACGATTTCGTTCTTTGAGTTTTATAGAGCTCCGCTTTTGAGGCGGAGAGAGAAAGAGAGATGTAATCCGTTATCCATGAGCGCATCGCATTGGAACGTTGCACTCGCAGCTACCATACAGTCGGGTCATGGTAGCACACTCTCGTTTCGTCTATCGAATGACACGAGGACGCTTAGGGAGCAGCGCGTTCGCGAAGGGACGCCTTCCTCACGAGAGCGTGAAGATCGAGGAACGGTCCTTTGAACCGTCCGCGGTCTCGATGGCGCTTCTGCGACGCTCAGGAGGTTCCGCGATCAGCAGCACCGGGTTCTGCGGCGGAATAATATTTTCGTCATCGTCGGGCAGGCCGTAATCGGTGCGGCAGGCGAACGCGACGCTGTTCGCCCTGCGTCGCGGCTTGACCTTTAACGTCGCGCCGCTGGTCTGCGTCTGATGCTGATGTTGCTGATGATGCTGCTGCTGCTGTTGCGGTTGCTGCTGTTGCTGCTGCTGCGATTCCTGTGTCGTCAGGCCGCTGCTCCTGCGGCTACCGCGTCTCGGTATCCCGGTCCACGATTTCGTCGTGGTGCCGGATGGAACGGCTCGTTCTCAGTCCCCCCGGTGTCTAATCTCAGTCGTCGTCGCCGTCTCGACGCTGGTGGACCCGCGCTCACTCGCGGTCGAGTCGCCTGGTCATAAGGGCGCCAACGTCTTGCCACGGCGGGCGATACGACTCTCCAGCCACAAGTACGGCACAACCGCGAGCACCAGGGTCACGGCGAGGCCCAACACGCGATAACGGGTGCACACCGCGCCGTGCAAGCTGAGCGCGAAGGTCAAGCCGAGCCAACGCCAGAAGAGCGATGTCGCCAGCGGCCCTTGCCACGCGTTTGGATACAGGCCTATCACCAGCGCTGAAAAAGTCAAAGATTGAAAAGTCTCTCCTTTGGTTCTCCCCTTCCCCCCTCCCCCTCGCATTATCTTGAAAGAATTGCCGTTTTTACGCAATAAATGTCTTATTCCTTCGCTACTCGCTACTCGTTCCATCAAGATACATTTTTAAGAGAACGATACATTAAGATATGCTATTTTTGGTACACTGTTTCTCTTCACGCTTTTTCTTCTCGCGGATACAAAGACGATATCTCGCCTTTGTATCTTTTGTCCCGTTTTGCTTGTTTGTTGCTCTAGAGTCTAGCACGATTTCGCAATCGGTGTGTGCGCAATTGGCGAACGGCGGCGCCCGGGCGCCCGCGTTCTGACGAAACGCAGATGCGCGCCGACAAAGCGAAGATCGCTTCTGAAACTTTTAGTTCGGTTTAATCGCAACGTTCGTAGTTTCCGCGAACCATCGACTGTGACTTGCACAAGCTGTCCTCGCTCAAAACCGCTTTATTGCCGCCTGATATGTCCGCGTGCCACAGAAATTAAACAGATATACGTACTGTATATTAGAGTTTCCCAGATGGAGTTACAAACTCCCCAGGCGGCTGATATGACGTGGAAGAGAGCCGGATCGTCTCCCGTCGGTCTCCAGGTTACCAGAACGAGCAGAAGACAGGCGTGGAAAGCGAAACCCACGACTAGAATGGAGAACGGAGTCTGTTCTATCTCTGATTCGCGATTAACACATTCGAATTAACATAGTCGGACCAGAATTATCTTCATGTTATGTCTACATTTAATTGTAAATTGACTTAATTTTTATTTTTTTACTTCTTGCTGTATGAAATTGTTACACTTGTCTGATTCATCTATCCGTCTGACATCTTGATTTATCTTTGATTCTGCATTCTAAAGTATCATTCGTTATTTCATATATCCGTATATGCTTATTTGGGTCCGACTGTGTGCTGGTTATTGAATTTGATGCGTTCGAAATCACTTACCCACGACAAAGTACCTTTTAATGTGCCTGAGCAACATCGAGAGCGTCGCGGCGGCCAGAGCTTGTAATAAAGCCAAGCTCAGAAAGCTTAAGGTCACCGTACCGACGCCGCCTAAAGCGCACACCACGTATGCCTGTACAAAACATGATCTTCATAGCCATTTGTAATTATTCGTCGGTCCAATATGAGAAAATTTTAAGTCAGTCGTCACGTGTTTATGAAATATTTTTTCAAACGATATATCGGCGAAATTATGCAAGATTTTGTTGATGTCTCGAAGAAAGAAAATAAAGAGTATCTTTTGACCTCCGAATATAAAATATAAAATTACTTCATAATTGATAATTTCCTTGAATTAGGATTAAATTAAATCTCGAGACGATCAATTATGATATTTATCATAAACAATTATTAAATAAAATAAATGCGAATTTTTTAATCAATTTGTCTCATTTACCTCCATAAAATCAGCGTAAATGAAGCCCTGTTCCAAACCGATGAAGAGCGTGAGCGGCGCCGCGAGCTGAAGCTTCGGGTCTTGAAACGCACATTTCACAGACTTGAGGATGTCCTTTACGCTGGCGCGGTCGTGGTTGGCCTGAGGTTCCTGCACCCTGGAGTCGAGAAACGCGCAGGATATGCCTAGACCGAGCACCGCCAGGCCGAGCCAAATGCTGACGAGGACCCTCGACGTGCCCGGCGTGATCGTCGGCACGTAGAGCGATTCGTTGTAAAAGTACATGTCCTCCGAACAGTATTCGGCTCCGCAAACGTCGCTGTTCATTACACTAGAGTCACTAGACGGTGTCAGGTCCGTTAGCCTGACGAGGATCGCGGCGATGAGGCAACCTGGGACCATAGAGAAACGATTAAAGAACTGAATATATATGTATTAAAAATAAGACATAATTACGTAAAAGTAATTAAGTATATCAGTATGTGCATTAATTATTACATGTATAAATATAGGAAGAATTAGAAATTAAATATTTGAGTACACACACAAGTATAATAGTCGAGTTACAATATACATTAATCAAGTAGAGATACTCGAAATAGAAATCATTACGGAGGTAACTTTGAATTTTTGAAAATTATATACAATGTCACAAATAAGATCGAAAAAAATAATGGCTGCAATGTACCGATTGCGAGACCGATATCCTCGGCCAGCTTGATTCCCCGGTTGAGCCTTCTCAGCAGGCATTCGCGCCGCGTCTCGTCGGGGTCCTCTGGACCATCGACGCAGACCAGCGCCAGGCTGGTCGCGGACACGTTGATGTGCGATGTCCTCGCCAGGAAACTCGGACTGGCGCAACAACCTAACATCACGTAGCTGGGCACGAGTATGTACCTGGCGATGTGGAAGAAAAAACGCCGCGTGTATAGGTATATGTATTTTTTTAAGATATTCGCTATCGTCCGTTAGCACCCGAGCTTGTGCTTTCATCTCTCTCATCAAACTGGGGTATTAACCAGATGATCAGTGCGACAAATGCGATCGTTCATAAATTAAAAAGTCAGAATTCGAAACGTAGCGGCTATCGTACCATTTGGGATACAGATGCACGCCGACGAAGATAGCAGTGACCACGTGGCTCGCGGTGATCGCGAGATTCGTGCCGAGCCGTTGCACGACGATGGGCGCGAAGCAGCTGGTGGCGGCTGCCATCATATAGAGATAGGCGAGGAGGACCGGGCCCATACGGGGCTCGAACGCGCCCAAACCCGCCTGCAGCGGAAAAATAGGCAGGGTGGCGGCCGAGCAGCTCGCGTGGCCAAGCAGAAGGGCCGCGATGTGACGCAGCACGACCCGGCGTGGCGGCCTGGGTCCAGACGGGGCCGCGCGGACCGCCGCGATCAGCCGGCGCACCGACGACGCGCCCGCCGACGAGTTCATGGAGTCGCGACGCCTCCACGACAGCGCCGAGGTGCGCGTCGACCGGCAAGAGATCGGCGAATACGCCGCCATGTGCTGCAAAAGTGAAATAATTGAATAAAAAGGTGAGTAATATATGCGTGCGCGACTTTTTTCCTCGACGTGTTCTCCAAGTCTAGACTCTTCGGGTCTAAGTTTAAATCCAGCTCTATATAGGATCTAAATCTCGTTGAATAATGTCAAATCAAATTCTTTAAATCAAAGTCCAGGTTTGATCTTCGATTCCTAATAAACGCTGGATTTTCAAGTAATTTCAGCTATATAATATATCGAATATTCATGAAAATTATACGATTTCATAAAGATATCGGTCGATTTAAGCTAGATCTTTCGAAATCTCAACAGCCGATGTGCTGTCGTACCTCCAACATGGCATCGTTGTCGCTCAGGATAGAATGATGATGCCCGCTACTTCTCGCGCGTTTATGCGTGTGCGCCAGCGGCGGTGGTTGCGCCGGCAATCGTTTCGGGCCGAGACCGCCGATCGGGGCCGGTTTGTACACCGGACTCCCCAGCTTGTCCTTGGACAGCTCGTGAAGATTCGGCAAGGAACCCATCGTTGTCAACCCGCCGCCGTTCTGTCGCTTCGCGATTACTCGTGTGATGCCTCCTCACGCCTCGATCTCATTACGATCGAGTAGCCACCGTCGCGATTGACGTTTTCTTCATCCACGAGTTGGTCACCTAAATGGAAAGAAACGAACTTTTCGTACCAAGCGCAACAATGCTGATCTACTTTCATATGGATCAGATGTTTTTATACGTTGTTCAAGATTCAAACGGAATATAGGAGCTAAAGAGTTTCGTGATGAGATTTTCTGCAAACTTGGCGTATGCTGAGATCAACTTTGTTTACTCTGAAAGAGTAATTCGATACACGCGAAACTGGATACATTTTGAGATACACGATCTGGAACCATTAAAATGACAATTATCCATTCTCGTAGCGATGTCTCCTTCGAACGTCAGATAAGGAGTCGCTTAACGTCAAATAAGGAAGTTAGCCATACGAGATTCTCGCACGCCTTGCATAATTCAATCGAATGATACTCGTTACTCGCGCTAATTACAAGACGGAGGAAAAAAAGAAAGGAAAAAAATACAAAAAAAAACGGAGGAATAAAAATCGTAGCGGTCACCCGCGCAGCCTTGAACGAGAACTTGCTGAGCGAGCTAGCTAGATCGGCGTAAACGCTGTAAATAAATGAGACGTGCGGGCGCGGCCTTTGTCGAACGGTTCCGTCCAATCGCGGTGATCGACGATCGGCGAACGGCGATCGGCGATCGACAGTTAAAACCGGAAATTCAGACGAATGTAAATTTCCGCGCCAAACGGGTCCGCGATCGCGTCATTCGCGTTTTTTAATTAGCTTCGACGGAAAAGGGAGGCTGACGGGGAGAGAGAAGGGAAGAGAGAAAAAAAGAGGAACAGAATACGAGAACGTGATCGCCACGCTCGCCGCAAATGCGCCGATTGTTATCTACTTACGCAACGCGAGCCTGTAACACATGCAAGTACCTGCTTTACGTACGGAGCGCACACCTCCCCTTGGCACCACGCGCGGTCCACGTTATCGGACGATCGGTGACTAGAAACGATCGGATTTACTTCTCGCTTCTGTTCGTGTTTTAATTTGTATCTGTCAGATCTCCGGATTTGTCTCGCGTTTGGCTAATATAATGACCAAGTCATTATATATGACCATATAATGACTGAAAAATTTTAGATAAAAATTTAGATGAAAAATCGAAACAATTTTCCAGCTACTGCACATAAAGAAACGGAATTTAATAACTACGAATTAGAGTAGCTTCGAAGCGAAGCAATTAGCCTCGCCTGTTCTCCGTTTTATTTCCGTGTTAAATGTCACGAGGCGATTCGATTCCCGAGTCCGTTTAAAAATTCTTCGACTCGCGATGTGGCATTCTGTTAAATTCGTAGTGTCAAATTGAGTCATTTTTAACCCTTCCTATAGGGTCGCCATTCCTACTCAACTCAATATGTCGTTAATTTAATTGAAACAATGTTAGCTTGACTAAACTAAAAATGACTCTCTTAAGGTAGTCAAATGCCTCGTCATCTGATTAGTGACGCGCATGAATGGATTAACGAGATTCCAACTGTATCCCTATCTACTATCTAGCGAAACCACTCCCAAGGGAACGGACTTGGAAAAATTAACGGGGAAAAAAGACCCTGTTGAGCTTGACTCTAGTCTGGCACAGTGAAGTTAAAATAATACTGTTTTGTATTAAAATAGTAAATTTCGACACACATAGTAGATGATCACAAATAACAAAATGTTATTTAACTCAACGTATTAATTTAAATTTCATATTTTATTAGTATTAAACAGTTCATCAACAGAACTTTGTTCCGCGTGAACTGTACACGTGAGAATTGTACCCACAAGTGCTTCTTTCGGACACTGAGAAAAAAAAATCGTAGATTCAAAGAAATATTACTTGATTCAACTAAATGCAGCGGTCACGGGCTGTCAAGCTAACATTTGTTAATTCAAAAAATATTATATTTAAATAGATTCAGATTTTCTTGATATTACTCACGTATATTTGATTTAAATATATTAATATTTGCATTAAACAAATCACTACAACTAAACGAGTTTAGTCAAATTTACAACATTTTTTTCTCAGTGGAGAGCAAAGCGTTTGAGTGAACAGAAAAAGGAAGTGTTAAATCAAGACTTGTACATATACTCGTATATATGCAAGAATCTATAATCTTGAAATGAGATCTGCGCATGTATTGTGTTAGTTAAACGAAGAAAACTTGTTTTTAAATGAAATTATTATATAAAAAAAAGTAGAAATTCTTATAAGAAGATTATAGATTTTTGCGCATATTCGAGTACATAAGTCTTGATTTGACACTTCTTTTTGTTCTTTGTGGGCATTTGTCGAGGGTGAGATCGTCGAGGAATTTTCGGCTACTGACAGAAAGTTTCGGAGAGTAATCTAAGGTAGGTTTGAAAGTGATTTGGCTGACTCGGCGATTCGAACGATTCACAGCCGACTCTTCGCACGTTTCTCGATCATGGATCTTACTCGCGTTCAATCTTGTCGGTCTTCCGTTATTTCGACGCGCGAGCCGCACGCGATGGAAGTCCGACGTGTGGAAATCTACCGAAAAAAAAAAAAAAATCCGCAGCTATTATAGGTGGGTGCAGCCGGTAGACCGAAGGTGAACTAGTTTTCGCACGTAAAACTGTACTCCCAGCGACATACGACTCACGTTTTCGCAGAGTCCGCGGCAAATCTAAATAAGGAAATCCAGGAGAGGAAGGAAAAAAGAAAATGTGGTGTAAATTAACAAACTGGTCTCTCCGTTATAAAAAGAAACTAATAAAAAGATTATTATTTAAACTTGAAAAATACGAAAAAGATGACCGAGATCGATGACGAAGACGAGGAGAATCGCGCGAGTTCCTCCCGGAAGAAAGGGGGGCCCTGATAGATCGCAGTTCCGGCTGTTCCCGCCACCGGGTGCCCTGAAAATCCGACGGCCGTGCAGCGTAGCTGCATTCTGCGCGCGGTATTCGCTACGTGGATGCTGAATGTATCTCGCGGCGTTGCAACGACGTGCGTCACAGGGGAAAATGCGGCCGATGCGACACGGTGCTGAATCGATATTTCGTTTTTCAGCACTGTCCGCGCTCCTGACCTTGGTTATTATTCTCGCGTCGGCCCACGTAACGTTAAAGCTGCCGATAATTACGTGGGTTTGCGTCGCCGGGCTCGGGTAAGAGGCACACGACGATTGAGAATGATAAAAAATGCTGCAAACTTATTACCCGACGAAGGCCCAGGGAGATTCGACAGCCAATGGGAGAATTGGACGATAAAATTTCATTTCTGAACTAAATTGTTGTCGATTAAATTTTTTCCCCGTAGGAAATAACTGCGAGGTTTATGATCGGATCGAGAGATGACTCTGAAAAATACTGATATAATTTTACGTTCCTCCGTATTTCGTTGTCTTTCAACCGGAAATTGATGATTTCATCACGGAGTGACCTGATCGAAGAGAATAGAGTCGTGCGCAAAGCGGGCTTTATTTTTCACGCTACGTTACGCACGACGGTAATAACTGTCGGTGAGCGAAGCCGAAGACAACGGAGCGAGGAGCGACACAGCGGTTTATCGTAACACGTACGGCCGAGTACCGTATACCGAGTATATTTAGACGGAGAACATTTCAGACGGAGAAGCAGTTTTGAATCTTCTTCGAGGAATCGAAGGGACGTATAGGCAGTAACCAGTAACGATATGGGAAGAAGATCGCGAGCTTGATGCGAGGGAAGGAACGGAGCTTACGTTTTCGCGTTGCTCGGTCGGACAATCGCCATGGTCCCCCGCCGACTAGGAGCTGCCGAAACTCAGCCAGTTGTTCCGCAGTGGGTCGTCACGGGGCATGATCCCCCCTCGTGAAACCAAAATTGTCGCTCTCATCCCGTGCGGCAGCGACAAGCCTCCTCATCGGCGTTCGAGACCCAAACGACGCAAAATCGCTTTACGTTAAATCCGCGGCACTCGCGGCACTCGCGAGATCTGAGCGTCGCGTCGGGGACTCCTCGTCGCAGCTATTCGCATCCCGAAGTTCGACGTTTAGAGATCACCCTTTGAGATTTGATGAGAGCGAAGCTTTGACGCATTCGATGTAAAGATGACGGTCGCTCGCGAACAAATCTGCACGAATCTGGCGCACCTGCGAAACTGGGGGGCGACGTAACGACGAAATCGAGACGAGGGTTGACGCGTCGCGAGCCGATCGTCATGAATTACGCACGAGTACCACTGTCATACGGTCACTCTGGGGGTGTATTGTTATTAACACGCGAAACATCGACACGAATCGCATTAAATACGAAATACCCGAAGGACGCGTCCGAACACTCTGTCATACGTGCGCGCGAGATTTCCGTTCCAGCGGATTTAACTCTGATATGCTCCTCTTTGTATCCACGAGACGAGAGATGTCAGAATCCACGCAGAAATGTCAGAATCCCGGTATCCCCTCGGGAGACGTAAACACGGGATGAGTCTGCGGAATTCTGATCTCTTCTGAAGTAACAAACGAGTCCTCTCGCTTTCGTTTTCGAAGACGCTTTCGAAATACAGACGTATACGCGAGCGGGCCGCGAACGCGAGATCGCGATCGACGGCAACCCGGGATACCGATCCGCGACAGGATCCAGATCCTGGGCCGACGAAGGGACGACTCGGAGCGGAGCGGCTCGCCTCTCGGTGTCCGCAATTCGGTGTCGCTCGGTTCTGCTCGAGCCAGCTCGGCTCGGCCTCCTCTTCTGATGGTCGATAACAGCGAGAGTGCGTACTGAGGGCGCGCTCCTTTAATTCTCACCGAATCTCTCCCGAGTGTGATTTCCCTCCGAATCTTACTCCAGCACGCGAAGAATTCCGAATTGCGAATCTTAATTGGTTAATTAACCAACGGGGCCGTTAATTAATCCGATCGTCGGCAAAACCAGTCGCACGATCTGCCAGACTTTGTCTCCCACGACGTAAAAAGCTATCAGTGCACGCCCTTATTTTTGCAAAGTTATAGTTACGCCCGAAAGTTGCAACGCGCGAAAGGAGATAACAAATGCGAACGCTCGTTCAAATTACCGAGAAATAAATGAACGCAGGTGCGCTTAAAGACAATTTGCGCGATAAGCGTTCCGTTTCTGAAACAAAGCGCGTCGGAAGCGAGTTCGGATTAATTGGCTTCGAAATTCCATGTCGCTCGTTAAAAATCAGGTCGGGGTCACTCGTGGACGATATTAAATCCCGTAATCAGTATCTACAAGCCACTAATTACCCGCCGTTATGGGGACGAAGGTTTCCGCTCGCGAATCTAACGGCCTTCCACGGATATGCACGCGCCGCGGGCGTGCAGTTGCATCTTCCGATTCTGTCGCGAGTGCAGTCGTCGACGGTAACGTCGATTGTCGCACCTGTCACGCGTATAACTGTCACGTTTTACAACGGGGGAGAATCGAGCGCGAAGTTGAAGACGATTCGCGATATCGGCAGGTCGTAAAATTAATTTAATCGGTAAGGGAGAAAGAGAAGAAGAGAACACACGTTGCTTAAACTGTAGCAAAAGAATAGAAACCATCAAATAAGTCTCGTAATATTAATTTTTCTAAAAAACTCTAACATTTTTCTCCTATTTTTTCTACTCGATCGGATCGACAGTCGTTCAATCACTGTCGCGAACAAACCTTCTGAGCGTTTCAATGCTATACCCCTAAGCTTCCGCTACATTTGACTCGGCAAAAAAATCTCTAGTTATATCCGGTTGGATGGATATCTTTCGACGTTGTCGGTTAATAATTAAAAAATTCGGCAGGAAATCGCAAATCTATTGTGTAGTGCGCACATTAGTGACATTATTAATTCGTCCGCATATTAATATTCATATTTATTCATAATAACATAGGAGACTGCGATCAATAAAATAAAATGTTCGAGATTTACGGCAAACGTGATTTTTTCCTGATAAAACAAAGTCGCTTAGATCAAACTTGTGGACAAAGAGACACCGAGCTCTCGAGAGAGAGAGCGACGCGATGAATAACCACGATATCCCACTTGCAATTAGCCTCCCCCGAAGATCACGTTCTCCGATTAGCGATCGCGATCGCGACTCGCGACAATAGGACGTGAGCGTCCTGCTCCCGCCTCTCAAGGCGAGACGACGAATCGCCTTTGTCATTACACAGCGTTTAACAGCCATGACACACGAGACAGGCACGGGGAAGTGTGTCAATGTTACGACGATCGCATGCCAGGTATCTATGTATTTAGGTACGTGTATGCCGGCTCTTCGTGCCGCGGGGTTAATCACCTCGTGCCGCTCATTGTGTTCTCAGCGATCGACGGAGACCGGCTCTTCCCAGGCTGTAAGAGCGATCAGCGGTCATCAGGAGTCGCCGGACCGTTTCGCAAGTAGCAGAGATAAAATATACAACGGTAAGATTGAGTGAAATGCCATCGAGGCCCCATAAGGTATCCATATAAATTATCTTTTAAATACGCTAAGAGATTATTACATTCTCGCGTAAGCGTCTCCAAGTACGGGCACGTTAATTATCCGGATGAAACACCCATGATACACATCTTCTGCCGCCAACGCGCGTGACTTCGCGCTCCGAAGGACTCCGCCGTTACCTACGTTTCCGCAGCGAGGCGTCTCTCCGCTCTCCCGCGTCGTTTTCTAGCAGTGATGATGTAACACGAGTAGTAAGGTGCAAGCGGTCAAGTCGCGGCGCGACCTTGAAAATCGAAGATCGAGAGTATCCCCGCCGTTGGTGGTGATGCATGATGATGGTGGTGGTGGTGGTCTCCCACCGTGGCCAAGTGTAATTGCACGTGTGTGTACACCATATCGCGAGTCCTGTCCCCTACTTCCTTCACTTAGACGCACGGAAGGAAGGCCCGATCCTTGGACACTTTCTTATAAATGTACGTTGGTCACCGGCTCGCGCCTCATTTGACGCTCCACCCTCCTGCACGCGGAGGGATCGATCCGCGGGACCGTTCCGTTCTCTCGTTACTTGGTTCCTCCGGTTCTCCCTTCGTCGTCGCGCGTCACGCGGCCGATTCAGTGCCGAGAAGTGGATTTCTTCCGATCCTTTCTAAAGTTCGAGGATCTCGGCCGCGGTCTTACTCGTTAAAGGATATACTCGTGAGTACTCTCTAGCTCAAGCCCTGTCACAATTTCTGACGAAATTTCAAAGTTGAAAACGGCGATATTGTTCGCCCTTTTCAAAAACGGGCGATCAGAAGAACATGTAAGCACCTCCGCTTGCCATTTGTTGAGAGGCGAGTGAGGAAGTAAATCGATAAAAGATAAACCGCCAAAAGAAGTTTAATATAAGGATATTGCGAGATTTCATATCTCGCTTTTTTATTCCGGAGATTTGGATCGAGCGCTCTTTCTAACAGCATATTGCGATATCTTGTGATATACGGAGAGTACCTTTATAAACTACTACCTTCCTTCCTTTCGATTTCTTTGATCATTCCATTCTAACAGAACGTCAAGCATGAAGATCTGATAGATCACATACTTTCACGCTAAGAGAAAACAAAACCGATTCTAAATTAGCTGGAGGGACAGCAATAACTTAAAATTATCGTTCTCCGTAATATTCGCCGAGCCAGATTTTGACAATTGAATTGGAGCTGAACGTGATAAAGTGCGGTGAAAGTAAATCGAGTAAACGTGCGAAGGAAAGACAATACACAGGAATCTGTGCATACGTAATACAACGATATGCGAAGGATTGTATTCGCGCGGTTGTCACGTTTGTTCCGCGCTGTTTATACGACGCTAGGAATGTCAATAGGCAGGAATATAAATCCCCGCATGTATCCGTACGTGAATAATTACATTCGCGCATTTACTCGATTTTTCTATAACGAAAAGATTAACTACAATGAATTAAAATAAATCTATTATTTCTTTCAATGATTATCTATTATTCATTCAATATGATAACAAAAACCCTTGGCAATTCGTAGGTTCGAATAACGAGCAAATTTACTCTCGCTCCGTGTAATTGGAATCCGACTCGTCCTCAACTCTCGCTCTCGATCGCAATCTCGGTGGCCCCGGTGATTAATTAATTAATGTGCGAGCGCGATTATCGCCGCCGCTGCTATTCCACTGTTGTTCCGCGCTATTTGCGAGGCTCGTAACAACCGCGTTATGCCTTAGAGGCCCGTTAGATCCGCGTCCAATCCGGATGCCGACGCACGTTCTACACCCATATAATGTCCGTTCAGCCTTCAACTTAGCGCAGGTCTCTAATTAAAACCCTCCCGCGCGGCCGCTTTGTAAATAGCTTTGCGAATTGTACGATTTGCGGTAGATTATACGCGTCCGTATCAAATATTTCACGTGGCGTCGATCGATTGTCCTAACATTTATTTTGCGATTTCAGTCTTATTGCACTGTGGTTTCAATCTCGCAATTTTGTGAATGGTGTAGTACACGTCTAGATCTCTAGGAATAACAAATGCGCGTTTATAGGCAAAGAAAAAAAAAAAGAAATATGCTCGTAAATGTAAACGTTCGCAACGAACGTCAATAATCAGTAAATTGTTCGTAACTAATCGAATCATTGCGGCTGATAAATGTACGTCGCATAAATCCATTCGGTATCACGTTGGATTAGTATACGTACGACTATGAATCAGCAGCCGATATGCAATAAGCAGTGACCGTTGTGAATTTGATAGATAACGTTTTACGTAATATATGTTTATTAGAAGTGAGAATCCAACGTTTTTAAATAGCTTATTAATTGATATTCATCCATAACAACTATTCCGCTTGCCTACTTTAGTTACCGGTTTTTCCTGCTACCGTAATCTCGTCTCTGATCGCGATTGGGTGTTTACGGAACCGTGTGTATGTCTGCGACTATTTGCAGAACGCGAACGCATAGTTTACTTTATGTAATTAAATTCTATTTTATTTAGAGTGAAGAAACGAGAACTCAAATCGCGATATCGGGTACAACGTGTGTCGTGAGACGCTCGGAAATTTAATCGCCAAAAAAAAAAAACGTCGGAGATTTATATTTTTCATTTACTCTCGGTATAAAACTTTCACCGAAGAAAGGTCGCCGCCGGAGACTCGTAAGAGCCGCTTTTGCACGCTTCGCGGAACGCATCTTCCGTATAAACGACGCCGGTGTCCGTCGTCCCGCGGAATCTCTCGACTGACGCTGGAAAAAATCATTAAATCCAATCGGCCGGAAAACATGGGAAGCTGCTCCCTTTTTCCTTCCCCCCTTCTCCACCCCGGGGAAAGCGAGACGGCGAATGGCTTTTAATCGATCGACGGCGCGCGCGAACTCTCCTCTCGAGGCGATGTATAAATAATGTATCGAAAGGGAGAGCCGGGAGTTGAATCGTTGCCGTAAAAATATATACCCACGAAAATCGTCGTGCAAATGCAGCCCGCGAGACGGATTACAACGGCGGATTGTCTCATTGATCATCTCGGCGAACGGAAAGATGCATATCTTCAGACACACGTGCGGTTCGAATATAAGTTATTCATTCGCAATTCTAATCTCGTATTCCACGCAATTCGCTGTTTATTGTCCGCAGTTCTCATGTTGTATTCGAGCGTTATTCGAGCAGCTAGGATGCATACACCGTCTCGCCTCGATGCGCTCTTCCTTTTTTTTTTATTCTAACGCTAATTGTTGGCAACGCGTGAACGCACAGTACATATAATACGGTGAGGTTCTGCGTTCTGTATCGCGAACGAATTTTTGAGCTATGCCAGAAAACAAAAAGTATATCTACAACTACGTGCAGGTATATACATAGATATTTTCTAGCAGAATTTTTCGAAGCGGCGATTCTCAGTCTATCAACTGTGAAATTATAGAGGCAATGATTGGATTTTATCTGGAATCTACGAGTTTCTGAGAATGTGTAATTACGCGGTCATTTATTATCAATAAATAGTTTTTTGACGCATCCGTTCGTCTCGCTCGTCATGACGTTGCGGAACGATTTTTACCTGTCATTAAGTACCGCCTTTTAATTGGCATTGATGTAACGCAAGTTAATGGTATATACTTCTGAGTAATAAGATATTATAGATACGAGTTATATTTTATGGCATAAATATACCCCCCTAAGATATTGCAATCATACAAGACAACATCATACATTCCTTTAGTTTTCTACACTCCGCAATTGTATAACCTGCGAAGCCACCTTCTAAAAGCAACGTTCGTTTTTTCAAGTCTCAGTTTCCATGACAATGACAAATATTGAAAAATGATTAAGCTTCTAACCAGATTCTAAAATTTATAGGCGTCAGACTTTTGATCACTTTATTATCGTTTTATAACATTTTGATTCCTTTTTGCAAGAAATCCAATCAATGAGATTCTTCGAAAAGAGATTCTGATAAGATATCTTCAATTCTCCGAGATGTGGAAGTTTGAAATTCGTTCAGTAAAAGATTTTAATTGTAAGAAACGATCCAAAAGTAATCTGTGATTGGCAGATGATGTCACGTCTCAGCAAGAATTTTCGTGAGTTTTTTCTCCTTGAAGATATGTCTCCCCGCGCGAATTTGTTATCCGATGGATTCGCCGCGATTAATCGTGGATATACGTGTAATGTGCAATAATGCGATAATGCGCGCAACAATAACAGCATTAATTTCGCGCAATGAAGATTAATTGTATATTATACTCACCGCGCTGCATGTTGAGTTATAAAAAAAAAAGGAAAACGCTTTGCAAGATTATTAACCGTCGAACGAATGATACAAGATATAATTAGACAAAAATAAAAAAAAAATCATGAAAAATTGTACAGTATCGTCCGCATCAATTGATAGATAATATTCTGCGATTATTGATTTATAGATCATTAATTAAGAGTTGGTCGATTTTCAGGTTGTCACGGAGACACAATTGTGAACGACTTTTTCGTTCGAATTATCTGAAATGAGATTATGTTGCGTTAAACTTGCTTGAAGAAAACTTGATTGAACAAAGTTATTATATATAGTTCAACCAAGAAAAAAATGTTAAAATAAAAAGTTGAAATTCTTATATAAGAAGATATAGATATAGATTGTTTCGTATATAAGTAAAATCACTATAATCTTTTTATAAGAGTTTCAATTTTTTATTTCAATCTTTTTTTCTTGGTTGAACTATATAATGACTTCATTCAACCAAGTATTCTTCATTTAACTTTAACTCAATATAATTTTATTTCAAGATTTCCACGTTAAAATATAAAGATATTTTCAAATAAAAAAATATTCTTTTTCTCTGTGCATACGCAGAATCAACGCAAAATTTCTATTTTCTCAGCGATATTTTTATCACCTCAGCTTTGCATCGCGGAAAGATACCGTAAAAAGATACCGCGCGTAATTTCATGTAGTACAGCCGCTCATTACGACGCTATTTATGTCTATCTATCTATCACCCGTCGCGCGCGACCGCGGCCAAGGATTTTTACGTTATAAATCATAGCACAATAATTTCAATAACTTCTGCCTCGCCTGCGACGATTCTCGCGTTACTGCGATGATCGGCATGTACACCGCATTTACGCCCTTCAATCACAATAGTCCGACGACAAATCACCAAGACGGATATCACCTATTCCCATTGACTAACAATAAGGCAAATAACTATGCCTCGCTTGCTTATCGTCGGCTGTATCAGCGCGCCGTTCGCGCGTGTAATTACAGCGGATTGAATTACAGATTCGCAATCCATACGTCGAGCGGGCCTCGTCGCTGACGGAGGCAGTTCCTTCAGCTCCGATCGAAACCGTTGCAAAAAAAAACTAATTTGTCGGTGTAATTTAACGCAAACATTTCGAGAGTAGTATCGCAAATCGCGAGACTCGACGTCTCACTGCCAAGTTTACACCTTGTTACACCTTGACATTCGCTACCGATCATCAGTTAACTATACGGAAATCGACGGACGAATTCCTCAAGCGTGTCTAATCGCTTGTTTTTTTGATGATATTGAAATGATCGTGCTATTCGAGACATTCGGCGAACGGTCACGGCTCCTTCGTCGATCTCTCCCGTTTCTTCGAAAATACCTTTGTCATCTCTCCACGTTCGCCGCTTTGTCTAGCGAAGCGTAACGGTTTTTGTTCGAGATCGATTTGCCCCTATGACGTTCTCGTTTAGCTCCGTCAGCTTCATCTTCGCCTTACGTAATTTATTAAATCAACTTACGTGCGCGACGTAAATTAAAACGGAGTAAAGTAATTAGGAAAATACAATTATGCGAAAGCCAAGGGTCAACGATTAACGAACTGGCTGACCTCATGTTTTTCTTTCCTTTTGCTTCGCGGCCGTTAAAGCGTGTTTTATCGCGACCAGCATGGGCAGCATGCAGCATTGTGTATTGTGACAAGCGTTCTGATATTAACGATATACACGAATGATAATTTTCGTTCCATCTCAACGATTTTGGTTCAAGGTAATCCGGCATGAGGCTCGGTGTCTCAAGCTTCTCGCGCGCGTGCACGAGAATACGAGCTTTTCAGTCCACGCGCTGCTCGCTGATCGTAATTACGCGATTCTCTTTCCATTCGCTTCTCTTCCGAAGACGACACTCGTGCGCGCGCGATAAAGAATGACGTCAACATAAAATTACGATAACGATGACGATCATGTAATTTCTACTGTTATGCGAGATTTCACGTGTCGGTCGTGACACGTGCGAGACCTACGCTCATCATCTGCCTCGCCTTACTTATATAATGATCGTCGTTCTTAATGATCGTTGATTCTTTAACCCCAATCTTTCGCAAAGTATCACAATGACGTAAAAAACTATATAAATCTGCGACGTAGCGCAAAGTCTTTAACACAATTCAATATTTGTTACGTATCCCTCTTCGGCTGCAATGTTTGTACAACTATGTTGCCTCAATTTGTATATAGCGCATTATTATAAATTAAGTCGTCAATTGATAAACCGTATCTGCAAGTACATATAGTATATATTTTGTATAATTAAAGTAATGATTCAACAACCTTTTTCCACACATTACCCATCATCGTATTCTCGAAACTAAATATAACCATCCAAACACGTCATCTCATTTGCATTATACTATATCACTTGTATTATGTATCTCATTAGTCTCAACAATCCATACTCTACAACAATCCATGTAAAGCGACAAACGCTAATCATGGAATAAAGTATTTGAAAAAAAAATTTAACGGCGTCCGCGCATTTCGTGGCGTTACTGGCAAAAATCTTCCTAGCACGGCGATTATTTCTTACAAAGACCACCTGCATCCAATTAGACCGTTCTCCGTTTGCGTCCCGGACCCGTCCGGAGCTGGTGAACGTGTCACGCGGAACTCGTTCGCGTCTGCACTCGCTTACTTTTAGGGTCGATGCAACGTACCGCTCTCGCGGCAATACAGCATTATACGTAAATCGCACCGGTGGAAAGACCTTGAACGATTGCCGGTACTGACCGGCGTAGCCGGCTACTTCGGCCAGGATATTGAAATTAGAATGCTTAACAGCTGTGTAGCCAATACTGCCGATCGATCGTGAATAATAAAAGCAGTTTCATAACGGCAGTCTTACCGCGCTGCGTTTCCGATCGCGGAGTCGCGTCGTACCGTACTTACCCGTTTCGGCGATGAACGCACACGTGACAGGCGATCGGCATCTTTCATATTCATGAACGACGCGACTAGCGACTCGGCAAACGATAAGAACGGCAATTTTTCCTTCTGAAAAGATTAGACGTAATAGCGTTCTAAGAAAACTACATTACAAACCTAACTTAACGTAATAAATCAAGAATTTCTTGCTATGGGAATCCTTAAAAATAGAATTCCCAAGCGAAGCGCGCTTGAAGATGCCACTACGCTCTTGACATCTCGCAATTCAATCCATTGTAATTTATTACGTGCACGCGTGGCTACGTTTATCCGCATTCTATCCGAATAATGCAAGATCGCGGATAAAAGCGTCGATTGCGCGATGGCTGATATCTTCGCCGACAAATGCGATAACCGTAATTCTCGTCGCATGCTAATTATATAATCCTGCACGGCGTACGATCTTGCAATGTAAATGAGAAGGAATTCTTCTTCGAGATATGCATTTTTCAGGTCAAGCAATTGAAGCAATGTTTCGCTCGGTCATGCAAAAATTGTCATTTCTCTACAAGCCTTACGCATTGGCTATAGTGTCGCTCGGCTATGTTCTGGCAGAATTGGGTCACTTTCTGATAGGTAAGTCTCAACCGCATCCTTTGTATTTCTTCATGAATCTAATTTATGCGCGCATCAGTCGACAGGTTTGACTGATTGTGTACATTAATCGACATTATGCGATGATATTTTGTTATCAAAAATTGATTCTTTCACCTGCGACGTGTCGCTAATTTAACACATATCTTTTTTATTAAACGACATCTGATTTCCCCGGCAAGGTGTGACGAGCAAAGCGATCGCCGAGGTCCTGCACTACGGCGACATAGCCTGCCAATTTAATTCGACAACGCTGACGGTGGCCGAGCTTCCGGTGAAATGCGAAGTCGCGAAGAATTCCACGCAGTGAGTCTCGCTAGTCGTTAATGCCACCTACTCCAGAAAGTCCCAGCTGGGAATACGTCCCGCCGGGAGAATCGCGCGTAACTGTAAGCGCAATTATAGTTTAGATTGCCGTTTCCTCCCGCGACAACTCGATTTCCTTGTAGGTGATTGATTCACCGCGCGCGACTTAATACCGCTAAGTCACGCGTCGAGAATGAAACGAGATATACTGTTACGAGATCATCGCGAGAGGACACGCGACGCCGCGCCGCCGCGACCGCGATTGAACGAAAGCCGTCGTTTATATGTCGTTAACGTTCCGGAAAAACTGTACTAATTGCAGGTGCCGCGAATAATTTTTTTCGCGTGATTCACGATACGAGAAGAATCCTCGTGTAAACGAATTGTATGCGATTTGCACGGTGATCGCACGGGCAAATCGATCATCGATCACACGGATCGAGGTCTTGCGCTGCACAGCGACGCAGCAATTATCGCGTTCGTCATCGCGCCGCGCTTACCGCTCGATCCGCTCGTACAACGCGCTCTTTGTTGCCGCAGCTGTGAATCCCTGGAACTGAATGGATCTTATTACTGCGAGTGGAATTACAATGGCCTCGGTATGGACTATCAAATCTTGGCGGGGCCCAGCTTCATCGCGGTTTACACGATCGTGGGTATCATCTTGGGCGTCGCGGCTGATAGATACAACAGGTAGGCCGGTCGAATCAATTTAATTACGCGTGTCGAGCTTTTGCTATACCTTTGACGTTCTTTTTCTCTCGTTCTAGAGTGAGGATGTTGACGGTCTGCACTCTGGTATTTGGCATCGCGATCATCCTGAGCGGGGCTGTGATGGAATACTGGCAGCTCGTTATTTTGCGAATGGTCCACGCGGCGGGGTAAGTCCTGGGTAATAACCAACAGCGCTTCCGCTTCCGGCCGTTCGCTCGCAAAACGAATCGATCGCGCCGCGTTGTGTTACATTAAAATCCGAACGAATATTACAGGGAGGCGGGATGTAATCCGCTGGCGACTGGTCTTCTGTCAGACTGGTTCCCGGAAAAGCAGCGGGGCCTCGTCATGTCCATTTTTAATTGGGGCATTTACGGCGGTTACGGCATCGCTTTTCCGATCGGTCGCTATGTGCCTGAACTGAATGCCTGGGATCTGGTGAGTTAATATCCGATTTACATTGTCTCCTTTGCATTATATTTTCTCTCTCCCTTTTTTTGTATGGCTTTTCAAAACCGATGTGTTCCGGTGAATAATTGCTCCATATACGTCCCGAGATCATTTCCGCGCGGAAGGAAAGCACAATGAAGGTCACGGTGAATTGCACCGATAGTGCTAACGAAATATTTCCGACGATGACGTGAAAGAGTACGCGTAAAAAATTCGAATTTTTTAGGATTGAACACTAACGCAAATAATACCAACAAGGATAAATTAAACGTTAACTGAAATACAGAGACAATAAGAATTAATGTTAATTAAATTAACGATTAATGAATTAATCAGATTGAGCTGTTAATTGGCAGGGCTGGAGGGTCTGTTATTATGGAGCCGGAGTGATCAGCTTAATCATCGCCGCCCTCACCGGTCTGACGCTGACCGAGCCGGAAAGAAAGGTGGTCGGCGAGGAATCGACCAACAACGACGGGGAACAAGTGTCGGTTTGGAAAGTGCTACTACAACCACGCATTGTTCTCTTATGCCTCGCCGCCAGCATCAGACATTGCGGTAAAGGGCAATACCTTGAAGCGAAAGGATTGAGATACATATCGAGGGTACATTAGCGATCCAATCGAGTTTGCACTAATCCGACGAATCCGCCTCGCCGTGATACTCACTCTCTTCGTCTCTTCTTTCTGAATATTTTGTCTAATAAAACTAAAATCTATGTTCGAATCTTGTCGATCTAAAGAAGGAAACGAGTTAAATCTAACAGCAGTAATTAAGCCTATCTTCGACGTTTCGAAATTAAATTTATTCTAATTATCTAAAATTATTTTATTCGATCGTAACTGCAAATCGTTACAAAAAGACAATTTTTGTTCTTTCGAAAAATTCCTATTGGCAAGTTTATTTCCCTCTTCGATCGAGCGATTCACTTCCAATCTATATCACAATCTTTTTCCAATCATATGCATGTGACGCTTTACGCAAACAGAATTAAATCGTCACTTTCTTTTTCAGGCGGCCTGTGCTTCGCTTACAATTGCGACCTGTACTACAGAGACTACTTTCCGGATTACGATCTCGGCTGGTGGCTTTTCGCTGTTACGATCGTTATCGGTAGTATCGGCGTCGTGGTCGGTGGATTAGTTAGCGACAAGTTCGTGGCGAAAATGGGGATTCGTTCGCGTGTAGCGTGTTTGGCGATCAGCCAGTTAATCGCGACGCCGTTCGCATTCGGCTCGGTATACTTCAATCCTCTTTGGGCTATGATCACGCTGGCGATCTCCTATTTCTTCGGTAAGAAGCGACGTTGTGTGCGGAATTAAATGCTCTAAATCAGTTCAAACATTCGATAAGATATCGATATGTATATTTTATACAGGTCGCCTTGGATTTAACAGTCTTGTCGTTTATGTTTGCAGCCGAAATGTGGTTCGGAATAGTGTTCGCCGTCGTGGTGGAGATCGTTCCTCTGAAGCTGCGATCGACCACCGTCGGCGTTTTCCTGTTCGTCATGAATAACATCGGTGGAAATTTACCGATTCTCGTCGAGCCTACCAGAATGTCCATCGGTTTCCGGGAATCGTTGTATATCTATTACGCTGGCGCTTACGGCATCAGTAAGTAATAAAATAGAAAATTAATTCACTACCGTAAAATCGTTCGCGTTCACAATCGCTTGTGTCGTCGGGCTTTTTACAGAAGTTCCGACAATTTTTATAAAATCAAGCCTTGATATTATTACCATAAAACTGCTCTCGCAAGTCTTTGATCGCGGAAGAGAGCGCGCAGTCGGACGATAGTATCATGATAATTTGTACGTAGGTTCCATTATGTTCTTCTTGACCATGTTCCTAATGGGCAGTCCCGCGGAGGTGGAGAGAAAAGTGGACAAGGAAGCACCGCCGGCATACGACAATAGCACATTCACTAACGACGATGGCCAATTGCCAACGTTGGAGTTGCCGACGTTTCCGGCGCGGCCGCCGATCTACGAACGTTCTCGGTTATGAGCCGGGAGAGGCTCTTGCTCTAAAGAGAGTAATGTAAATAGTGTCTCGAGCTCTCAAGCTATATTGGCAGGCACGAATCGCGTAGCTAAGGATTGGCAGCGTTAACCCATTAACGTCATTCGAAGATTTGTTACAACAAGATTGTTCCACGCCGCCGACGATTGATAAATTGAAATCGATACAATTGATATGTTTTCATTTACGGTGGAAGAATACCAGACGTATTTGTGAGATATTTTTTTACGTCTTTCGTCGATCGGACGTTAATGGGTTAAAGTTCCTCATGCCGAGCCCGAGACTTGCGAAATTGTGCGAGGGCGCGATTTACCAAGCGACAACTGCGATAATTAAAACCTCTGTTTTGTTTGAGCGCGACGCGTTGAAAAACATTCACGTGCGCACGGCAGATTACGTAAGGCTCTTGATAAAGAAGTTTACGAAAAGCTTGATAAACTCCGAGAATCCTCAAGATGCGTTCTGCGTTCTTAAAATGGAAATCTGTAACGGAGAGTGTGCAGCAGGTGTAATTTTTGTAGAAAAATAAAGATCTTAGTATCTACTGAAAGGAGATTAAGACAGCAATTAGCGATCTGCTTTTAGGAACGTCTATTAGGATTGATCCAGGTGTGTGATTTACGCACGCACACACGCGTGCATTCATGTACTCAGTGCGTATTGTATCTCGCAAAAAGTGTTTTATTGAGAAAGTCACATAAATTAATATTAAGCTAATATTAAGTGGCTAATATTGGTTTTGGTGTTATCACATGTCATAGACAGCCTGTTCGAGTTCACCATGGCGGATAATACAAAACGGTAATGACGGTATCGTACATTTTGCTGTACGTATGAACCACGCTGATGAAAACGCTGCGCACAGGATGCGAATAATTCTACGTAGTACGTACGGGATACGGATTAGCGCTTGAGATTCGCCGTTCATCTTTCTATGTACAAATTATTTAATATAAATAAACGAATCTCTACACTTGTAATGTACAAAAGGAATCGCGGGGGGTGCCCTCTCGACGGGGCACGGCGTCGCCTCGGCGAGAGGTCTTGTCATGAGAAATGCTGTGTACATATCTACATACAGAACCGTACGGACGACACATGTTCGACGTTCTGCGTAATAAATAGCGTAATGTAAATAGCTTATAAGAGTGCACGCCGCTGCAACCAGATTCATCTACCTGCGTGCGCCAGACGATGCTGCCGCAACTACGCCGACAAACGCAGATAGGAAATGAAGGGAGAGAAGAGAGGGGAGAAAGTACGTGGATGCAGTGCGTAAATAAGCGTAAAGACTAAAGCCTCCTTTCGGGTTCGGCGAACTCTAATACTTCTCGAGCCGGTTAACACCTGACGACTTGAGCGCGATAATGCTCTTAATACTAAAACGGATACTTCCGTTTAATGAATATCAAATAGCGGTTTTACGCGCCAGTTCGCCAATACGCGAGACGCAACGACTTTGTGCGTTTATTTTGATTACGGCCATGGTGCCGACGCGATATTACATATTCGGTTTTGCGACGACGCGCGACGTCGAGTTTCCAAACCCGTGTCGTTTTCGAAATCAACGATTGCGTCAGTGCACTTTTATTCTGCCAAATTAGGCCTCGTTACGCACAAGCGAAAGAATGTGTTGTCGGAAGAAAGACGTGTTTGACGTGGCAATTGGATTCGCACGTAGGAGAGTCGAGGACGTAAAGAGACGAGCCGCCGACTGCTCGGAACACAAACGTTCGCGTCGCTCGGTCTCATTCACACCACATTGTCCGAAAATAAAAGGTATCTCTGAAACACTTAAAGACCGTGACGAGTTTGAAAAGTATGCCGACCCACGTACCAAAACATACGCAAACCGTCCTTTCATCCGGCCACATTACTTATTGTCTCGATCGCTCCAAGTCCCTCGACGAGCTTAAACCACGTACGTAAACGCGGGCATAATTTACGCTGTCCCCCTCTGCATCGCGCGTATTCTTTCTCCCGTGTGATCGCAACGAACATCGAAGGAATCAGTTCTCTCGCGATTTCGACGCGCAGAGCTCTGCGCAATTTCGCGAGATTCATCGCGATTCAACACTCCTCCGTGGACGTGCTGGAGATCTGTGTGCTAGCGCCGCTGGAAAAACTGCTCCTGCAGGTCTCCACGGCGAGAGCGGTGTCAGGGACTTGGACGAACTGCACCTTCTCCTTGGGCCACCTGCTCCTGCCGTAGACGCAGTTGAAGATGTTGTAACGGTGATCCATCTCCAGGTGGCTCAGAGTACTGCTGTGCCGGCGCTTTAGCACCTTCTTCGCCATCAGGCTGCGATTGTTCTTGTAGGAGAGCTCGCGATGAAAGCAGAAGAACTTGCGCAGCTCCCGTTTCACCCGGCGAGACCGATAACCGAAGAGCAGCGGACTCGCGTAGGCGGCCAAGATCAGAAAGCTGAGCGCGACCACGTCGTATTCGTGCGGGAACATGTAATCCGAGTACTGTGGCAAGTTTTTAATCACGCTCAACAGCACGTACGGTGACCAGCAGATTAGGCCCATTACGATTACCAGCGCGCTGATTCTGGCCGCTCGGGTCTCTTCGCGATACCTGAACAGGGAGCCGTTGCTAATCCGGTGCTTGAGAGTGTTGATGTAGCTGCTGGTGCTGCGTACACTGGCCACCCGGTGCAACGTGCCCGGCTTGCCCGGAGCTGGCGTGATCGTCACGATGGGTGTCAGAAGGCAAGACGAGGGCTCCAAACTATTGTTCCCGATGTTTTCCGCGTTTCTACCAATCGCGTACGATTCCACATTGACGTCAAAAATGCCCGGTCTCGACAAACGGCGACTGGGTCGTCTGGATCTCTTGTTCTCCAAATTACCGCTGGGATTCGGGACCTCGTTTTGCATTATTTGCTCGCGTTCCGTCATCTTGACAGAGATCTCCTCATCGTCGACGCGACGAGTCGTCCTCTTGAAAGAGTCCCGTTCGAGATCTTCCACGTCATCACGCGGTTCCTCTGTCCTCTCGCACTTAGCGACCGAAGACAGGAGGTAATCGGAGGGCCTTCGATCCGTGATCTTGCGAGTTGTTTTAGGAACTTTCAAAGAATCGAAGTAATTGTAGCGTCGCTCGTCGTCTTCGGACTCGGAATCACTCGAGTCCGCCCCGGCGATCCATCGAGAGGATTCCCGGACCTCATCCGTTAGATCGCACGAAGATTTCCGTCTCCGATCCGCTTCCGAATCGCAAAACTTGTTCACGACGAGGTTCTCGTAGGACGAAACACCGCGTTCTCTCTTGAGGTAGTTTGTCTGCAGATCCGCCGCCTCCGTTAAATTATTATCGTCTTGATCGCGCGGCGGCGACACTTCCACCGGTTGCAGTCCTACTGTGAAAACGACCCCCGACGATGTCTTCTCGTCGCTCGGTCCCGTCTGTGCGGCGTCCGAGGATGCTGAAAAAGATCTCCGACGTGATATCTGATTGGCCGAGTGCGCGGTCTCGCTGGTCTCGTCGATGGACGAGAGACTCGAGATCTTGGGTATTCTGCGAAATTCTTCGGGAAACGTGTCAGCGGATTGATGCTGTGTCTTCGCGTAACCGTATGGATCTTCGCTGAAGCTGCCCGACGAAAGAATCGGTCGCGAGCCAGTCCTGCGGGTTCTCTCGGAGTTTCGATGCGCGGCTGAATAGATGCTGAGATAGATCCAGCAAACACCGGCGAACGGAAGCAGATACGCGAATACACTGTGCACGACCGTGTAAATGAGTCCGTAAGTAACAGAGTCACTGGTCATGGTGCGTAAAATCACGGTGGAGTTCTCGAGGAGGTCGATGCTGCTATCGATCTTGATTGAATCGAGCAACGTCGACGTCGCGCTGACGATCATCTCCTCCTCCTCCTCCTCCTCCTCGCTTGTCCCGTTGCCGAAGAACGCGAACGCAGATTCGATCGACGTCTCTGCCGTCGCGGTAACGTTTGGCGCGAACACGCGTTCGCGGTAGGACGAGTTGCCCGATAACACCAGTGTCGTGCTGCAGGAAAGCCACAGACTGCGCGGACTCGGATTCAACGCGGCGATCACGCCGAAGACCGCCGAGACCAGCCAGATGGAGACGATCAGCACAGCCGACTTGAGCTTGTCGACTCGGGCCCGGTAACGTAGTGGGTCCACCACGGCAAAATACTGATCGACGGCGATCAGCAGGACCGACAGCACCGACGACGTGGTGACGAGGGCGGTCGCACCTTCCGATATCGCGCAGATATTGCTGGCGGCCGATGCGGCTGATGAGGACGTCGGCGTCGACGTCGACGTCGGATCGAACGGCGACGCGATGTTGTCCGGCGTCGACGTGGAAGTCGTTAGAGTGTCCGCTGCCGCCGGGCCGTCCATCATCAGCAATGGGTTCAGCACCGCGCACGTCAGCAGATTCGAGACCGTTAGATTCATCACGAATCTGGAATTGAACAGAACGGACCGTTTTCAACATCGAACATTGATAATGTCCGACACCTGTGCGATTGTCTTAGATTAGCGAATGATTGATTGAATAACAATAGCTCATTGAAATGTGAGAGGTAGGTATAATTTTTTACGAGTAACAAATCAGTAAAATGAAAACACATTTACAGAAAATGAGATGCAGGATGGAATGTAGGATGAGGAGAGAAGAAGGGAAAAGTATATTTTATTATTCCATTTTATACGCGTCAATTTTGAATCAGTATGACTTATTGATAACCGAAACAAATAAAAACGTATTCGTTAGTGAAAAGCGACATTAAAAAGATACAAAATCACAGAAGACATTGAAAAAACAGGAAGCAGAATTTCATCGCTATATTCTTTTGCTACGCTTTCAATTACAAGTCACGTGTTATCTTATAACAAACACGAACGTTATCATGTGATTTGTATCGAATCGTTTATTTTTACTCTTCGTGGATGGATTATATTCGCCGTTTCTGCAAATACGACAAATTCGTCTCGGGAACGGAGGCATTTAAAGGATTCATGGTGTTTCGTTTCACTTGTTTGCGCTGTCAATAGATCGACGAGCGAATTCCGTCAACACTGAAGCTCGCTTTGATCTAAGTATAGCTCAGAAATATCGTTCGCGTTTTGCAAAACACGTTGGATGGCGCGATAATAAATGAATTTTCCTTTTTTCAACGGTAGAACGAAACGTTACGCATCTTCGAGTTGCACTGTTAACAGCGACGAAATGTTCTCAAAATACGACAGGTTTATTATTACATTTCGTTGCAGCGGTTGCCAGAGTTTGGTACTCGGCGAGTAATTGATTTCCTGGCTCAGCAGGTGGAGGTCTACGTAATAACAATGATAGATCCAGTGGCGCGGATCTATTAATACGGCTTACTAATATCAACTGCAAACGTTTGCTTTCGCGGAAATTGGTTGAGTCTCGGGTCAATCGGGTTTCAATAAACGTGAGCTGACATTACATTCGTTTCTCGACGCAGGGACATTATTTGCGATCGCACAATGTTCGAGCTACATTGATTTGCACGAAATTTTATTTGTACAATAAACAAAGGTACTCCGCACTACGACGACAGTCATCTTACGTCTTCATGTACGCGGTTATTTTTACGTTGTCTACCTTCCGCCTTTCAGCATTATGTCGCGTCGACGACGACACACACATACGACAACGAAATCACAAACTGGAATATTTAGACTGGCAGAGTCCCACGAGGAGCACGAGATTCGTGTAGTCTATAGAAACGACGCTTCGAAACGATATTTTATTTACGAGCATGATGGAAAATACATCTGTATGCTCTCCACATGCAGAAGGACACGAACGCGGGCGAAAATAATTTTCCTGCTATTGATAATTCAACTAAATCTCGACGTTCTTGACGAAACACATTTTAATGCAATGCAGATTCCTAGAGATTCTAGGAAGAGAGACCCATTCTATTTTCCTGAAAGTACCTACGATATTTAATAAATTCGAGGTATTCGTCAAAGCGTTTTTAATTCTAACACGTTTTCGGAGTAAATAATAATCATTTCTATTTATTACAAATCGCAGCATTACTGCGCTTTGTTTTATTACGTTTTATCGCGGAAAAGCCATAAAGTTCGGTTGATTATCGGGGAAAAAAAATGCAAATGCTGCATGTCACTGCGCACATAGGGTTATTAACCTTGGCATAGAACGCAACAATGCGTGAAATAAACGCATAATGTAAGTATTATTTATCGCTGGCGTCTCGAGTGGATATTACGCGAAAATACGGCAATGCCTAAATATATTATTTCCACCCCTCGTTGTCTCCCGCGCACTCTGATTTTATTTCCGGTTTGGCGCGAGACGCTGCGTATGTACATCCGAGACTCGCACTCGTGAAGCGTTCGTAAGTATGTCCCTTGTATCTTTTGCGATCTTCGCTGTCCGCGAGAATCATTACGTATTACGTTCGTCGTTGCATGCGTCAACAACGTCGCGTTAACAAATTTTAAAAACTGTCGCCCACGAGGATTGACGTAGTTCACGTAACTGACGGGGTCGCTTATCGACGACAATGTGATAGCAATTTTGCAACCGCATTAACGTCAATGATATTATTTATGCATTATTCCTTTTCCTACGAATAAACAAGTGCGCAATAGCTCGGAGATACCATCTTTTTTTTTACATTGAATAACAAAAGTGTTTGGGACACAGGGAGATGTAACAAAATGTTAGATAAAAGTCTCGAGGCATTAATAGCGCGATAGTGAAGGTGAATGACGATGTTTCTCTTCGCAACCGAAGGAAAGGAACGACTCGAACATTTTCAACTTGATTATATGCACGGCACGAAACAGTCGATCCACTAACCTGTTAGAGATGGTGCGTAGTCCTGGCCTAACGAGAAACGCGAGCAAAAGAGTCGCGTTGAGGAGAAAGCAGCCGAAGAGCACGAAGCTCCAGGCCGCGATCCCCGGATTGTTCCACCATCTTTCCAGATTTCCCAGGTCCGCAACCGGTCCTCCTCCAATTCCCGTCGCAGCTCCATCCATTCATAAATAATAAGTGTATGACGGGGCCTAGAACAGAACGCAGCGCCGTTTTCATTAGAATCGGCCGTCAAGCTCGAGATCAAGATTGATCCCTTCAATTAACTTAGCACGAAATTAATTCATTTTATTAATTCATAATATTGATGTGCCGAGGAAACGATGCTGCGAGTTGAAGAAATTAAATTTAGTTTGAGCGAATTCTAAAAAAGTTGCGGTGGATCACCGCGCGATAAACTCTTCGATCACGGTCCAGCTTGTTTCTCGGACGAGGCTGGACAATTTCCTGTTGCAGAATTGCGCTCTCGAAATGGGTTAATTTTCGCACGACGTCGCCGTCGCGAGGAAATAGCGCGACCCCGACGCACGACGCCCTGAAGGAGTTCCCGTCGACATGTATTTTTGGACGGATTTTCCCGTACGCACGTGCTGCGAAAATATCCGCGTGGACACGCACACGCCCAATTGCACGCGCGCGAACGAGATTTTGATCGAGATCGCATGGAGATTTTAAGAGAGATTTTAAGAGAGAGAGAGAGAGACGAGCGCACGTGACGCGCCTTTTGTGCTCCACTCGAAAAAATGGCTCCCCGCGAACATTGTTGTTTGTATAAATAACTGTCCGAACAAATACGGCCGATTTAAATAATAAAAGAGAGACCAACCTCGGAAACGGAGACCGAGGTTAATGTAATGAAGACATCTTCTGGATATAGTGCGCTGTACGTTTCTTAGCTATCTCTGTCTCTGCCTTTTCTCGCATTTAAACTTATGTTCTCTGTGCTGATAATAAAACAGACTGATCTAAAAAGATCAGTGGGCTGCTGTGCGCGTCACATGAATATAACTTTAAACGGGGAAAAACATGCTTTTGTTCGCCATCGTGGCACTCGGAGCGTGCAAACAAAAAGCGTGAAGATATGTAACGCGTTTCGAAAATAAAGCGACACCTCTCTCTTTCTCTCCTTTACCCGATTGACGTCAAGTAATGTTTTTCGATTGATATTATCGTTATCCGCTCGTTTAATTTCTTTGCACCGCTGTTACTTCAATGATCTACCGCGATTAAGTCAATAATCATTATCGCACATCTTTCCATTTATCTCTCAATCCGCATGAAGTGTTCGCTTTTGAAGTGCCTGTTTAAACGCCTCTCGCGGCGTGATTTTTAATATAAAATATACTATCAAGATAATCATTTTAAAATCATGTCAATCTTAAATTTCCTGGCACTTGAAGCGCGACGGTCTATAATTAATCTTGATAAGAAATACTTCATCAGATAAAGATCTCTCATTTAGACTTTATATCGCCCGTTTAAGACGGCCAATATTTAAACTATAGTGTCGTAAACTATTTTAGTGTTAAACGACAATGACCTGAATTCCATCAGTCTTATCTGTAAAATACGCCGAGATTCGCTTAGACTTGACTTAGAAAAATAATTAATCCGCGATATAATTCCCGATATGACACATATTCTTTTCTTTCGTGGGTGAATGGCAGAAATGGAGAGAGAGAAAAGTCTATATAGCAGTCTTTGTACGATATAAAATGGGATCATATAAGTTCGCACACAATTCTTTTCTGTAATGAAGAATAATGGGAAAGAAGGAAAGCCAACAGAGAAGTGGTGTCCATCATGTCAGCGTGCAGCGATCGACCTTACGCTCGATTGCTGCGAAATCTGGCAGCAGTTCAAGACTCGAGTCGTTGAGAGAACGAATGAATGAGAGAGAGAGAGAGAGAAAGAGAGCGTCTCAAAGGCATCAATCCTACGATGACACGTACAGACAGTCGTTTATTTCCGTTTGACGAAACTCTCACGAAAAATATTACTATATAGGAGATCTGATCACGCAACATGCATCTCGCCAGTCAGCAGCCGAATGATTTATTATCTTGGTCGATCATTTCCGAAATCCCATTATCGCATTACTCGACGACGCAAACGTGCCAATGGAAACAAGCAGAATCCCTTGTGATATTTTATGAAGCGAGTGATAACAACAGCTAAGCCGGAAAGACTATTTTTTGTACATACATACGACGCCCCGTTCTCGTTGTGTAATAAACACGCGCGATCCCGTCTTTAACTCGCTCTTCCACGGTATCTCTCAGACTTGGCTCCTCGACGCGTGAGAGGGGAATGTCATTTCGAATGTACTTTTTATAACCGGTGCTGAATATTACGAGCAAAATCGTCGCGATATGTTCCGCAATAAAAATGGTAGGTCTCGTAAACGTAAGACATTGCAAGAAAATGGGAAAATAAAAGGCACGCTCTCCTCGATATATATTTCCGATATACAGTTATAATATTATTTATAAAACGTCTTCTCATCTTCAAATTGCTTTAATCACCCGTGCTTCTAATTTAATCAAAATTAATTTTGTACAGTCTTTATAGTTTATTTTTCTTTAATATTTAAACTAATAATATATCGAACAAATGACAAAGATTCTCCTTAACTACTAACATTCTTTTTCGTTCAAACTTTAGGTTGATTTGACGCAGCTTCTAAATCATATAGTATACGCATAATCTACTCTCTAATCAGTTCATATACGTGTATTAGCACTCGACCGGAAGACAAACCAACAGCTGTCGCTGTACGGTTCGTCGCGTGCGATTCGGCGTCAGATTCTTGAGCTGCCGCTATAAAAGGCTCTCGACACTCGACACGCGTACCGATTATGTGAATTTCGCTGCGTAATGTATGCGTCTTGTAACGGCGCTATTTTCACGCGCATGACTCGATAAAGCGCGAAATCGCTTCCGCGCGAACGACCGCGACAACGTCTGCCATTGTGTATCCGTGCCAGGAATAGCGCGCAAAAATCTAAACAGAGTCGCGAGTCGCTCATTATCCCGCCCGCCGATTGCGCACGGCGCGATAACAGGACCGCTGCCGCGTCGCCGAGCCGCTCCGGCAGGCGAATCCGAAGCAGATGTCATTGTCATTCCGCGTAAAGCGTGCCGCTCACGTGAGCGGAGTCGACATGGACCGCGATATGTCGGCCCGCGCGATGCGGGTACGCGGAAATGTACATATATCGGGGGGAATTGGCGACGTCGGCGACGGCAGCGTACGCCTCCGGCGGCTCCGATAAGGCGTCGAATCCGCGTTTTCGATGCGCGCGTCAGCGACGTTCCCCTGCTGCCTGCTCGCGGCGCGGCGCGGGCGCTTCGCAACAGGCTTCGAGCGAAATCTTCCACGAGACTCAAGTCGCTGGAGTTTAATAGTTTATCGCTCGTGTAGTAAGAACGGTACAACAACACACAACGAAACGCAATGTCGAACGACATTTCGAAAGCTCTTCGTATTTTTACGCGACAGTTTCGCCACGAGTCCTCGGACAGCTCGGAGGCGCAGCGGGCTGCGTTCCGGACGCAATTTATCAGGCGCGCGAAGACAAATGTCTCGGAAATCTCTAACGCTTTCGAAGGTCGTTCGAAATTGGGTTAACAAGAAATTGGGTGGAGACCGGTAACTCACCAGAGATACGTGAAACTCTTAGTCGACGGTAATCTTGACGATACAAGGGCGTGACATGGCGCCGATCGCGTCTATTCCCTTCGCCCTGGCTCTCCGTGCTTCAATCCCGAAGACCTTGAAGATAAAATAAACACGAGAAGCATTATTCTTTCTGTTCTTTCATTTTCCGATAAACAATATTTTTCAACCATTTCTTATCGTCTATCGCGACCACGCAACCCCGGAACATCCGCGAGATGCAATTGGAAATCAATTTTGCGTAAGAAACTATAAGAATCTTTCATGATTGTGATTTCAATATGAAAAAGTATCTAATCTGAAAATATATGGTGTAAGACGTAACGAAAAATTTGGTAACTTTCTCGCGATACCCCTCTCATTTGAACGCAAATAAAAAAAGGCGTCTTCGAAAGATGTCGAAGAACGAAAGGAAGAGAGAGAAATTGTAAGTAAGGTTTAAGTTACGTCAGAATTTAAACTCTGCAATCTGTTTTGCATCTAAATACGTTCTCGATGTCATACACGCCCTCTTCGAAAGTAATTATCGAATCTGTTTCTCAATGACGATAAGTCGGCAGGTGCATTCATGGATCGAACAGACCACAGTGATAAGCGATGTTTTGTCGCGTTTATCGAGAAGCTAAGTCATGTATCGACAATGCTCTTTCTAGATCTTTCGAAATACCAAATGCCGGCTGGCATCGCATCGTCCGCGATCGATTCGCGAGGATTGATTTAATTCCGGAAGTCCCGCGAACTGACTCCATCAACGTAATTCCCTGTCGCGTTTCGCTCAAGGTAAAATTGTGCACGAGCGGAAAATTCATCAGAATAGACAACACTTGGGAAAATTACACGTGGCGCTACAGGATCTCAAAGTGCAAGGTCACGTTCGAGCTGCGGATCAAAATTGAAACTTCGAACGATAATGAATTCGATTTGATTTCGATAAAACTTATAAAGAATGTTCTGGAAGGTTTGTCAAAATGCTACGAAGTTGATGAAAATTTAATATCATATTCTGTATTCTCTTTCAAAGTTCAGGGTCACAAACAGATCGATTCTCAATTTAGATAAAAAGTTTTTTAATATATCCGAGTTTTTTAACACGTAACTTTATAGCATGGCAGAGAAAAGTGTAAAACACCAATATAATGATATTTTACACACAAGTAGATCATCGATAAATAAAAATATAGCAACAAAATTTGGAACGATTTACAAAAATTTTATTTTTGAAATTTTTTTTGAAAAAAAAAATAGTAACAGTTATTTACAGTCACTAAATCTATGTCTTTTACATTTCTATTAAATTTGCCGTAACTATTTATATACATTTTTTGTTTTTGGATCCCTGGAAAATTAATGACTTTTGGTTAGGACGGTATCTCCAGAACATCCTTAAGACACGGTAGAATCCTTTTGTTACGCGCGTTAAAAAAAAATATACATCCAGAGTAAGATGTTAATACACACATTATCTCGCTCTGTAAACCGGAAGATATATATAATTCGTTTAAAAAAAACAAGCTTCTCGCAAAAAAATCGCGATTTCGTGAAAACAAACTTTGACCCCCGCCGATTCGCGCGGCGTCTATTACATGGGGTTGTGGGATTCATGAAATTTTTTACTCACCCCGTGTCGCGTAAATCAAAATCCATTCGTAAACAACATTCCCCTGAGTGTTCGCTTTCGTCCGAAATTTTCAAGAGACTGGTAATCGCACGAAGTTCTGAACACCATGGATCATCGATGATTTATCCACGAACGCGAAAGTCACTTTAAGTAATTGACAAAAATAAATCTCCCTCGCGAGAGGAAGGCGGTGGAAGTTGTCAAACGCGGCGCGAGGAGGAGACGGCCAAAAGTGGCAGCAAGTGCTTCGTATGTCTCGCAAGAACCAACTGGCACCATGAGCAAACAACGTGAGACTGAAGAACCCCGCCATTGACGAAATGTTTAAAATCACTTTAGGGAAGAATGCAGGGAGGGGGGACATCTATATTTAACGCTATAATGTTAGTACACCGCGGAGTATCGTATGATTGCCCGAGAGCCAATGTTATATCTTATCGACCTCGGATAAAGCGTCGCCGGTCTTATTGCAACGCAATCTTGCGAGATTACGCCTCGCGCGTATTATCTAGTCGAGGGACGCGCGCGAGAGAATTAACATACCAGAACGGAGACAGGACAGGTGTGGAAAGTGCGCGTGGCGAGGGCCGGGGTCAACGTTATTAAGATCTGCAATGCATAAAAGTGTCCTTAATCCTTGCCACAGCCGTGGACGAGGATCGTAAAATATCACCGAGCGTCCTCATCGCGATGCAGATGCGTCTTTGCGTCGCCACTTTTTACGTCGCATCTCAGCATCGATTACATTAACGAAACAGCGAGCGCGAGAAGTTGACGCCTCAGCACTTTTTGCAAGGCGTCTCTTGACAGCGGCGCTCGTAATTAAAATTAATCAATTCATCGCTCGCGCGGACGCGGAAGCAATCATCTCCTTTTTTCCCCTCGATCCCTTATTTATTATTATGTCGTTCTGTCGTCTGCGTTCTCGTCACTTCCGTATTATCCCGGAGGAAGAAAAAATATTTACGCGTATCGCACGGAATTCCCTGATATCGTATCACCGCCTTCGAATTCATATCGCCTTATTAACAACAAAATAAGAGAGTCGTTCCTCGACACGGCTGCGAGAATGCGTGGGCGCGCGAGTCAGAGTGTCGTTGAATCAGCTTCATTTCCTGGTTGAACGAATACCGAGATGTTCCAAATTCCCCGGCGTGTACCGTTCTCTTCTCCTCTACACGTGTTCTTTTTTTCTACGGAGTCGCGTGTGAACGGCATCACGATCGCTGAATCCGAAAATTTACTCTTCAGAAAGTCAATGAATTCCTTTTCCTCTTTGTCAGATGTATGAATAATTTTAACATAAATTGCCGGGACTATCAATGAAGATTTTCGACGTCCGTCCGACGACCGTTGGTGTTTGACAGTCAGCAAAATATTCGCAGCTGATTACTATTACTGCTGACAGACGCCGTAAAAGTATCTTTATACATACATGACGCTGCTTGTTTTTAACTCGCGTTATAATCTTTGTCTCCCAGGAGGTCTTATCCCACTTTTAACGCCGATAAGCATAATATCCGGCGCGATAATTGCGTATATAATAAATAATGCAATGCTACAAATTGCCGCAAAAAAAAACTTAGTCTAGCACTGTTGCGAAGCTACTTGTCTGCTCTTGTCGATTATCCCATTAAGATAATTATACCCGTTTAATAGGAATGAAGCTTATACATCTCGTTCCGCGTGTAAGGATACATTATACGGAATAATACATTTTTCAAAGTCTAATCGCGCGCGTACAACAACGGTCTACTTATTTCAGTGCATGTGCGATTGCCCCCAAGTAGGTACGCTAGAATTATTGCAGTTTCTGTTTTCCCGATTATTAACGAATTTAGAATCGACAAAAAAATTCTATCTTAAAAATCTCGAATAAGCCACGGACTTTTCGTCTTTCTTCAGCGACTTAACGGTATCGTCGAGAAAGCGCGATAATTCTGACACTCGCCAGCGAGTCTCCGGGACGGCAAACAAAGAAAGTTAAACAGGAAAAAGCTACTTTAAATATCCGCTTTGAACATTGTAACCGTCAAATCTAGAACTCCAGGCCGCTCCCCGATAAAATAACGATATTTATCGAGAAAGCGTTTAGAACCACTCCAGGCAGCGAACAAAGAGAACTATGTAGGAACGAACGCAGCGGGCGGTGGTCCTATGCGGGTTTCCGACATCACTGAAACTTGTCTCGTTCTCGTGCTCGACGTTAGCTTCCGAAACAACGCAACCCGGAAACCGCGCGATATCCGTCACTGTCCCATCGAATAATGAAATTTTAATATCAGTTATAACTTATAACAAGCGGACAATCTTTCATCAGAAACTTATACTAACTCTACTTCTTTTTTATCCTTTGTAATCTCTATAGCGCATAAATCATAATACTTTAATAGCAGCAACACTTTACTTCAATGGGCGTATTAGAATCAGACTCCTAATCGGCTAATTAATACATTACAATAAACGTAATGATGTATCACGACATCGCATGGTAAAGTAATGGAAATGGTAAAGAATGACGCATTCTGACTTCCTTGAATTCATCAGATATACTGTAGCTCTGTTGAAATTTCAGACAAAATGAATAGTAAGCATAGAGCGAACATTGAACCACTCCAAGAGTCGTTCGAGATGGAATCGGTGACTTTTTGACGTGTACTCGCTGCAATTTGTTCCGAGCGGACGCACTCCGTTTTTTTCTCAAGACCTGTCGCGTTTCCTGAGAGAAAAAAAAAGTGGACTTCCACCGCTACAATCATCCGCCGCTCCAAGCGGCGGAAACTTATGACGCGATCTTGTCGCGAGAAAAATGAATTTTTTTCCGTTATGCGAATAGCTTTTTCCTTCGAGCTTTCAACGCGCTCGTATCCCGCGTCGGCGCGGCGTTTCGCAACGCCGTGGCTTGTACGCCTCGGATCTCTCAATTAGCGAATTCCACGAGCGGATATCGGCGGACGGGAGCGTCGTCGTTTCATAGGCTTGTTAGCACCTTGGGCGCTGGCTCGCGGCCACTCGCGCGTAACTCGTGTTGCAACCCGCCACTGGTCACCGCTACATCCGTCAGCTCGGATATCGGCTAATAGCAAAGATCGGCTTAAAAGAGAGGGGAAGAGGGAGGGAACACACAAAGTACGGAGTGCACTATTTTAAGACGCGATAAATTGAAACGGTTAATATTTTTACGATATTAATGGCGGCAATTAATATCTGACACCAGGATACGCGACGGATTTAATAAACCTCGGCCTTGCACGCGCTGCAATTTTCAGCGTTTCCCCCGCGCGTGTTCTCTCCTCTCTTTATATCTTATTTTTATATTCCATTGTCAGCGCACGGCTACCGTGCTTATCCTTTAGCCGTGCCATGTCAGTGCCGACACCAAGGTTGATACTTTTTAGTTTGGTGCGCTCGTCAACGGATCGGTGATCTTGAAATATCGTCTCGACGCCTACGTCGGATTTAACGCCTTAAAATTTCGTCGTGGCGAAATGCATGAGCCGTTATTATAATAAGCGAGCCCCTCGAGCGGAATAATTATGCGTCGGATCGCGCGCGAGAGAACGCATCGATAGCTGCTCGCTTCGCCGAAGTTCGCCGCGGTGAAGGTATGATTTTATTCGAGAGAAAAAGCAAACGATACGCGCGCGCGAAATCGATCCGACGCGACGCGACGCGAGCTCGAGTCGCGTTAATTGCTTCGTGCGCGATCGCGTGTGTATTAACTTTTTGAATGGAGAAGGGTATGTGTAAATCGTTCCACGCCAATTTTTCCGCTAAATCGCAATGACACGTATGTGCGGAATGTATATGCGCTGTATCGCGCGCAAAGATCGTACAAATCAAGGTCGCGTGTGCACGTCGAAAAGTCGTGTATCAGCCTCGATCCGGTATTCGTTATCTACCTTTTTGGAATTTATAATTCCATTGATAAATTTTGCGAAAATACTTAACGGCTATCCACATTTCTCTCTCTCTCTCTTTCTCTTAAAATATCGCTCATGATCGATCAAGTCATGCAAATAATAATTCGTAAGCAATTTAAACATCGGGATATCAAGATCACATTCCTGCACGTCAAAAGGTTGTTGTAGATTATCTTCGATAACGCCTTGGTACTTCGGCCTCTCGGCTGTTTTCGAGACATATTATCTTGAGAAAGATAATATTTCGGAGGAAATACTTATGAGAGCACTCTCGATATATCGTTGACGATCCAAGTGATACGATCTTTGAAGTTACGCGAATAATAACTACGCCCAGATGATCTCAGAATACCTAAACACTATTATATATATTACGTCAGGATATTCATATAGAACATTACGAGTACTCGCAGATAATTACTTATCGCGTTATGTGCTTTGATATCCGAGCGTCACCGTTGATATCCGATCCGAACACTATAATCCTGTTGACCTGCCGAGGAATGTTCCGACAACGTTCTAGCGTGTGACATTCCCATCTCAATCGTGTCTCGAATGATTTAGCACCGGTCAGGTAGTTAGCAAATGCAGCCAACAGTCGCATTAATCACCGGTCGCTATAATTAGTTCGGCGGAGCTAATAAGCGGATTAATTCAATTGATATACTTCACCTCATAAATTCTTCCCTCCAAACCAAACCGTGTCTACTCTCAACGAGTGTACTCGTCGGATTACATTTCTTCGACGTTACTACGTCGGTATTGCGACGTATATCGTGACACAATGATATATAGAGTAATATAGACGCATCATTGTCTATCAGTTATTTATCTCGCCGCATGCGTCGTTAAACAGAATCAAGAAAACAAATAGTTCACAGCGACTTCAGAGAATTGCTGGGGTGAATTTATCTTAGAATGTAATTCCCACGGATACTACCTGGGCGTTGCTGAATTTACAGACCCGCGTCATCGTTTACGCTTCCCGCTATTCCACGATTCGGTGTCGTCCGCTTCTCACGTAACTCGCGCGATATACTCCACCTCGGCAAACGCTGATAAAGGCTGAAAGATACAGAGCGCAACAATTCGAGGAATCCGGCGCGTTACAAAAGAGTAACCGGAAAACACCGAGCTATAAAAAAAGCTATGTAGCCGGGAGGACATGGGGCCCATTTTGTATATATGTTCGTCGAATTCCGAACGAATTCGTTATTCCCGGACTTTGTCACGTCGCGATATTCGGTCGTTGCATATACCTCCTCTCTCGTTCTCGCGACGATTGTACTATCGGGATCGTGCCTCGCGTTCGTCTCGTGTCACCCGAAGGAAAGTTCCTTAATCCAGCTCGAATCGTTTAATCGGCGTGGTATGAAAAAATATGCGGCTTTATCGTATCGCGCGGACGTACATCGCATATATATAACCCTCATTGGCCATCTAACGCGACCTCTCAACCTCACATTGTCATTTCTTTCTATGATCGACTTAGAAATCATTGGAAGAAGCTGAAACGCGCGGATAAAATGTCAAGATGCATGGTCCTTTAAAATTGTCTTTGGAATTATATTTATTAAAAATAACGGTTCAGATAAATTGTGACATGCCATAAAATACGTGTTATTTTTATAACAAGATACATCATTTTTATCACAAGATATGTTAATTCCCGTCTGAGTAGAACGCTGTCTGTTCTACGTATACGAAAATAAGCATATTTGAATGC